TGGTAGAGCACCAGCCTTGAATTAAAAAAAAAAAAAAAAAGCTCAGGGAAAGCATCCAAGTGCTAAGTTCAGCACCCTTCCCCCCACAAAACCCATTTTTATGAAATGATGGTGACATCAGTTAGTGGTTTCTTAAGTTTCTTATTCTTATGTCCTTGTTTGGTAAAAACACCAAGTTGACAGTATTGTTTGTCACCTTACTTTCTTGGGAAATTACACTAGTCCATGGGTTCTAAATTCCAGATGACTGGCCAGTTCAGAGGTTGTTGTGAGAACTGAGACAAGGCACATGGAAACTTAGTCAGTACTGGAGGACTATGTCCTAAGAGCCACCATGAGGTGTTCTTGATGTGTTCCTCTTGCTCACAGCCTTCCCGGAATGGAGGACACCCTGGGCCTGAGGGCTGGAATTCCGTTCATGTGCTCTCTATCTGGAATAGGTCCGCTCACTCATTTTTATTTTTAACTAGTTGAATACTGTGCTCACTAAGTACAAACAACATAAAATGGAATTATCCCTATGAAGAAGAGAAGACTTTTTCCTTTGGTTTAGATCATATGCCCCAATGAATTCTCTTGCTACTCTGATTTGACATCCTTCAACCTTCCCTTCTATATGTGTACAGAAACCTGAACTCTGGGCTTCGGGCTCTCACTTGGCTTTTTTTTTTTTTAAGACTATTCAAGTGCAGTAGTGAGAAGGGGGAAGAGTGTAGAATAAGGAGTTCAATCTGTAACTGACTGTGAACAATCAATTGTGATAACTCACTACCTTCAGACCAGCCTCACCTGACTTTTTTGCTCGAGGCTGGCATTCTACCATTTGAGCCAACACCTCCACTTCTAGCTCTTTGGTTGTTAATTGGTGATAAGAGTCTCTTGGACTTGTTGGCCTCAAATAGTCTGAAGCCATGATCCTCAGATCTCAGCCTCCTAAGTATCTAGGATGGCAGGTGTGAGCCACTAGTGCCCAGCTTAAATTTTCATTGTTGAAAATCAAGAGCCAGGCAGAAGGAAGTGGTGCTGTGGCTCAAAATGGTAGAGCAGGGCTGGGAAAGTGGCTCAGTGGTAGAGCGCTTGCCTTGCATGCATGAGGCCCTGGGTTCGGATTCCTCAGCACCACATAAGCAAAAAGAAAAAAGCCGGAAGTGGCACTGTGGCTCTAGTGGTAGAGCACTAGCCTTGAGCTGAAGAGCTGAGGGACAGTGCCCAGGCCCAGAGTTCAGGCCCCACGACCGGACTCAAAAAAAAAAAAAAAAAGGCACTGATAGCTCACACCTATAATCTTAGCTGCACAGGAGGCTGAGATTTGAGGACTGCCATTCAAAGCTAACCTGGAAAGACAAATCTAAGAAACTTGTATCTCCAATGAACCAACAAAAAGCTAGAAGTGGAGCTGTGTCTCAAGTGGTAGGGTGACAGCCTTGAGCAAAACAGCTCAGGGACAGCCAGGCCCTGAATCCATGCCCCAGTACCAACTAATACCACTAACACACACACACACACACACACACACACACACACACACACACACGGCACAATGTTCTCTTTGCTTTCGTTTGTAAATGGCTAATGTGGTTGTCAGACAGTGTCAGGCATGTGTACTGTGGCATTCGTGTGATAAGAATCACTGTTCTTCCCATTTATATTCTTCATCTTATAGAAAATAAGCCTTTTTGTCCAAAACAGCTGGTCTGAGATTAGCTGGCTATCCTTCTTGGTACTTAGTATTTATCTGAAGGTTACTCTCATAGTGCTGAGATGTAGGTAACTGAGCAGTTGGGGGAGGGGAGGTTACATCTGTTTTGTTTGCATGTGTGTATGGCAGCACTGGGACTTGAACATGGGGCCTCACCCTCTCAGTTGGGTTTTTTGCTCAAGGCTGAAGCTCTACCACTTGAACTACATTTTCATTTCTGGCATTTTTGTGGTTAACTGGAGATAAGAGTCTCACAGACTTTCCTGCCCGCTGGTTTTGAACCTTAATCCTCAGATCTCAACCTCCGGATTAGCTAGGATTTCAGGTGTGAACTGTGGGCACCCAGCCCAGATCTTACAATGATTAATATCAGCCCCATACTCTGGTGTCTGTTGGATCTCATGCGGTGAAGTGTTTTGTTCTACTGTGTGATGGTTCATGGAAGATAAAACAAACCAGAATGGTTCCTCCCCTCCAAGCTTTTGATTCAGTAGGGGAGAAAACTGCCACAGACTTCTGAGAGCATGTACCACTATCCACCTAAGTAGGTATCTAAGGGAAATACAGACAGAAACCCCAAAGGAGGGAAAGGTGCTGAGCACCAAGTGGCAGAGTGCGAGCCTTGAGTGGAAAAAGCTAAAGGACAGTTCTAGATAGATAGATAGATAGATAGATAGATAGATAGATAGATAGATAGATCCAAACACACACACACACACACATATATATATATCACTCTCAACTTGTAACACTATTAAAAAGGATTCTAGATTTCAACCTTGAGAACAGAAAACATACATTAAGAGTACAGATAGAAAATTATGTCTCTGATCACAGGCAGTATTTTTTTCCCCTGATCCAGGGGCTTGAACTCTTGGCTTTGGAGCTGTCCCTGAGCTTTTCTGTTCTACCACTTGAGCCATACCTCCACTTCTAGCTTTTTTTTTTTTTGGAGGGGGAGAGATGGTTAACTAGCGATAAAGAGTTTCATGGACTTTCCTGCCCAGGCTGGCTTTAAATCATCATCCTCAGATCTCAGCCTCCTGAGTAGCTAGGATGACAGGTGTGAGCCACCAGTGCCCAGCTACAAGCAGTCTTTCTTAATTACTGGTGTAGAGGAAAGAACCCAGCCTTTAGAACCAGGCATGGCACTGCTGGGTGATTGCCGTCCATTCTTAGACTATCTATCTAATTTTCTCTTTTTGGAATCAAGTTAGTAAACCCTTAAGAACCTTTTGTCTGTCTCACAACAGGTGTTCAAAAAACGAGAATCCTTAGGTGGACGCCAGTGACTCACACCTGTAGTCCTGGTTATTCGGAAGGCTAAGATCTGAGGATCCAGTTCAAAGCCAATGCAAGCAGAAAAGTCCGTGAGGCTCTTACTTGCCTTCAATTAACCAGAAAAAAATTGTGGAAATGGAGGTTTGGCTAAAGTAGTAGTGAAAGGATCCATCACATCCATCCCGGCAATCATGCAGAGGCAGGCAGGCACAGGAGAAAGATTATTACAAGGTTTATTAGAGGAGCCATATCCCCCCCCACCCCAGAGAGAGAGCACATGGCAGCCTCTGCTATCTAGGTAGCAGCAGGGTCTGGGGGATAGGAAGTAAGGTAGATGGAGGTTGAGGTGGGTCTGGGTGGAGAGAAGGAGGGGCCAGCAGGTCTGGGTGGAGCTGAGGACCAAAGGTGGGCATAATGCTAACAGGTAGAACATCAGCGTTGAGGGAAACTAAGAGCTTAAGGTCTGAGTTCAAGTCCCAGTACGGGGGGCGGGGGGGGGGGAGATTTTTCTTCATTCAAACATATTATCACTACATATCCCAAAACAGTTAAAACTAAAATATCTACAGGCAATTCATACATACGAGAATTTTGGGGGCAGGGCATGAACTCATTGGATATTTTTCAGCATAAACTTTCAGGCAATGTATGTTTTGGTTTAAATTCATGTAAATATGGGATATTCCTTTCAACCCAAGATAAAAGCTCATTTTTAGTGGTGATCAAGGAGTTATGCATAAATTGCTTTATGGGAGCAGGGTGCCAGTGACTCACAGCTATAATCCTAGCTATTCAGGAAGCTGAAATTTGAGGATCAGGATTTCAATCCATCCTGGGCAGGTAAAGTACATAGGACTCTTTCATGAACCACTACAAAATTGGAAGTAGAGATGCAGAGTATGTGATAGAATACTAAGCTTGAGTGAAAAAAGTAAGGGACAATGCCCAGGCTGTGAATTGAAGCCCCAAGATTGGCACAGACACATACACAAAAAAAAGCTGTGGCTCAAGTGGTAGAGTGGCAGCCTTGAATCCAAGAGGGAGAGGCCCTGAGTTCAAATCCCAGTACCAGCACCAAAACAAAATGAAAAAAAAAACACAAAAAACAAATTAATGGATTGTTTCAAACCACTCCTGAAGTGAATGAAAAGAGGTATGCCTATGAAATTCAGGTTACAGAGGAAGCTAATGGAGGCAGATTGATATTGTTTGTGTCTGTGTCTGTGTTGGTCCTGGGATTTAAACTCAAAGCCTGGGCACTGTCCCTGAGTTTTTTGTTTTTGCTCAAGGCTAATGATGCTCTACCACTTGAGCCATAGCTCCACTTCCAGCTTTTTTTTTGCTGGTTAACTAGAGCTAAGAATCTCATAGACTTTCCCGCCCAAGCTGGCTTTGAACTGCGATCCTTAGCTCTAGGCCTCCTGAGTGGCTAGGATTATAGGTGTGAGCCACAGAGCCCAGCCAAGAAGCAGATTCTTTTATGTGTCTTTTGTCCCCTAGAACTAGTCCCCACAGAAGTGTCTTGACATGGTGATGGCTGTGGTAATTGGGGGTGGGGATGGCCCTTGGGGTTGGAGAAGTGGCTCATTTGGTAGAGGGCCAACCAATGCACGAGGGTCAGGTACAGAGTTCCAGATCTGGATCTAAAAAAAAAAAGCCAGAAAGGCAGACCTGTTCCACATCTGCACTCACCTCCTTCCCCTCTTCCCTCCCTTTCTCCTCTCCCTTCCCTCTCTTTCCCTTCTCTATCCCCTTCCTTCTCTCCTCCCACTTCCCTCCCCATGCTCTCGGGCTCCTTCCCCCCCATCCCTCTCCCTCCATCCCCCCCTCCTCCCCCTCCTCTCCTTTCCTTCCTCCATCCCCCTCCCCTTCTCCCCCCTCTTTCCCATCCCTCTCCCTCCCTGGTACCCTCCTCTACTCCTACCCCTCCCTCTCCCTTCTCTCCCCCCTCTCCTTCCCTGTCCCCCTGTTCCCTCCCCTTCCCCCCTCTCCCGGACCCCCCCTCCCCAGGTGCGGCGCCATGGGTGACTGGAGCTTCCTGGGGAACATCCTGGAGGAGGTGAACGAGCACTCCACGGTGATCGGGCGCGTGTGGCTCACGGTGCTGTTCATCTTCCGCATCCTCATCCTGGGCACGGCGGCCGAGTTCGTGTGGGGGGACGAGCAGTCGGACTTCGTGTGCAACACGCAGCAGCCAGGCTGCGAGAACGTGTGCTACGACGAGGCGTTCCCCATCTCGCACATCCGCCTGTGGGTGCTGCAGATCATCTTCGTGTCCACGCCGTCGCTGGTGTACGTGGGCCACGCGGTGCACCACGTGCGCATGGAGGAGAAGCGCAAGGAGCGCGAGGAGGAGCCGTGCGCGCGCGCGGGGGCCGCGGGCGGCGCGGGCGCATGCGCGGGCGGCGGCGGCGCGGGCGGCGCATGCGCGGGCGCCGGCGCCGAGGCGGAGCAGGCCAGCATCCGCAAGAGCAGCAGCAGCAGCAAGGGCACCAAGAAGTTCCGGCTGGAGGGCACGCTGCTGCGCACCTATGTGTGCCACATCATCTTCAAGACGCTCTTCGAGGTGGGCTTCATCGTCGGCCACTACTTCCTCTACGGCTTCCGCATCCTGCCGCTCTACCGCTGCAGCCGCTGGCCCTGCCCCAACGTGGTGGACTGCTTCGTGTCGCGGCCCACCGAGAAGACCATCTTCATCCTCTTCATGCTCTCCGTCGCCTTCGTCTCCCTCTTCCTCAACATCATGGAGATGAGCCACCTGGGCCTCAAGGGCCTCCGATCGGCCTTCAAGAGGCCGGCCGAGCAGCCCCTGGGCGACCTGGCCGCCGAGAAGCCGCTGCACTCCATCGCCGTCTCCTCCATCCAGAAGGCCAAGGGCTACCAGCTGCTGGAGGAGGAGAAGATCGTCTCGCACTACTTCCCCCTCACCGAGGTGGGCATGGTGGAGGCCAGCCCGCTGGCCGCCAAGCCCTTCAGCCAGTTCGAGGAAAAGCTGGGCGCGGGCACCTTGGCCGACGTGCCCCGGGCCTACCCGGAGACGCTGCCTTCCTACGCCCAGGTGGGTGCCCCGGAGACCCCGGCTGACGGGCAACCCGCTGCCACCGATGGGGCTGAGCCTGAGCCCGAGAAGACCTCCGATGGGCCCGAACCGCTGGGCGCGCCCGAGGGGGAAAAGGCCGAGCCCCCGGGGGTCGGGAAGGAGGAGCTGCCGGCCGAGAAGATCTCCAAACCGGGCCTCCCGGCCGAGAAGGCCCCTTCACTCTGTCCCGAGCTGACCACCGACGACAGCAGGCCTCTGAGCAGGCTGAGCAAAGCCAGCAGCCGAGCTAGATCAGACGATCTGACCATCTGAAGGGGCGCCCGCCCCCAGCCCATCAGGGCGGGGCAGCAGTGACCCCAGAAGGTGCCGGCCCACATACTTTGATTCTTCCACGTCCCCCCTCTGCCCCACCCCACGCCGGGGTGGACAGGTGCTGTCCCCGTAACCGTGCATGCTGTCCAATGAAGAAATCCGTTCTGTATAACACCCTCCCACACACACACACACATACACACCACAAAGTAAAGCCATTGTCCAAGCCAAGCGCCCACTCGCGTGTGAACTGTCCTGTGTCTCCACCCCAGCAGCCTGTGGGGGGACTTGGCTTTCCTCCCCCTTTCTTCATAGAAACCCCACAGAACGGTGGTTACCTCGAAGCCTTATTTTTTTTTTTAAATCAGTCCTGTCTCAAGCTCACACCCAACCGACTCCATCCATGTGACCACATATCAGGGCTGTCGATCCCAAATGGCAGCTTGGTGCTGGTGGGTCACCCCTGTCATCCCAGCCACTTGGGAGGCTGAGATCAGAAGATGGAGGTTAGAAACCTGTTTTCTGCCCACAAGACTCTCTCCAATAAACAATACCAAAGCTGGACTGGAGGCATGGATCAAGTGAGAGTACCAGCCGCGAGCAGTGAGCACCTGAAGCCCAGACATGAGGACCAGATACTGGCACCAAAACAAACAAAAAAAATAAAAATTGAAATAAGACCTACAGGATCCAGACAAGTGATCTCAATGGCTAGAGTGGGCCTGTTGTAATTCCATGGAGAGAGATGGGGTCGCGCAGGTTGGAGAGCTAGGCAGTTCTAGTGTTACCTGACCATCTGATTTTTCAGGAAAAACCAGAGCAAGGCACTGGTAACTCATGCCTCTAATCCTAGCTATTTAGGAGGCTGAAATCTGAGCATCATGGTTCAAAGCCAGCCTGGACAAACAATGCTGAGAGACTCTTATGTCCAAATAACCAGCCAAAGCCAGAAATAAGTGGTACAGTGCCAGCCGTGAGTGGAAAAAGTCAAGCAAGAGCACAAAGCCATGGGTTGGAGCCCCAGCACCAGCACACAGCAAGAGAGAGAGAGAGAAACCACAAGTTGGAACTTTTGAGATTTCCCAAAAATAATTCACTTTGGTAACCAAATAACTGTGTCCAAGCCAAATTTAACCTGTGGGGCACCAGTCTGTAATGTCAGCCCGGCGGTCCTATAGAATTTGTCCAATTATTTACAGTCTCAACTTGTTTTTGTAGCTTCCAAACCTCATTTCACCGCTCTGGAATGTCAAATCATCAGTCCAGATGTCCAAATGTCTGACCATTTTGGGGGTTACTGTAACCCCAGAGGTCTGAAGCAGTGATGTTCTTTGTATTGGAAGGAATTCTGCTCTGGGCACCATCAGAGAAAGCCAGCAAGGTGCCAGATCCTCTCCCTGGAAAATGAAAATGCTCTGGCAGCCTGGTCACAATTTTTTTCCCTTAAAGCAACAAAGATTTTTTTTCTTTTTTTCTTTCTTTTCTTTTTTTTTTTAATCTCCTCTTCCAAAATGAGTGCTTAGCCTAAACTCTACACTACCTTTAATCAGAGGCTAGGAACAAGCTAGAGGACATCTGCTCAAAGGCCTGGATTGAGGGATGTCAGCTCCTAGGCCTAGCTCAAGCATAAGGTGAATACCAAAAAGTCCATCTGGCCAGGCGCTGGTGGCTTTTGCCTGTAATCCTAGCTACACAGGAAGTCGGTCTGAGATCACCGCTTAAAGCCAGCCACGCAGACAAACTGTGAGACCTTATCTCCAAATAACCAGCAAAAAGCAGGAAGTGGAGGTGTGGCTCAAGTAGCAGAGTGCTAGTCTTGAGTGAACAAGCCAAATGAGAAAGTGAGGCCCTGAGTTCCAGTCCCAGTACTGGCACCCAAAAAATAAAAACTAAAAAAGAGCCATCAGAGGATACTAAAAGGGGAGCCTCTTACTCTACAAAATGGATGCTGAAATATTTAGGGACCAGACCAGGTCAAGTTTTATCCCTGAAAGGTATAGAGAAGCTAAAAGAATTGAGAGAAATCCCATAGGTCTTCTGGCCTGTGTCCCTTCAAACCAGCATGTCTCAAATATAAAGCCAGTCAGGGGACAATCTTAAATTCAAGTACATGTCTCATAAGGGGCAATTTTACCCAGAGCCAATCAATTTTCAGAACAGAGAAAGTAGTAACTAAGATAATTCATCTAAAGCGAAACTATGCCAAAGTTGTTGACTGCAGTGCCAGGAATAGGAGAGTAGAAAACTAGACAAGAGATCAATAGATCTCCTCACCAAAGGAGTCCTTTGTTCTGTCTTCTCCCCTACTAACAACACCCCAAAGTTTGGAAGTCCTTTTCGTTCTCTTGTTATTACGTTCCTTTTAACACCCTCATTCCACATAAGCCTCTCCAAAGCAAGCCATACTATCCCCCATTACAATTAGTCTAGTCATTCTAAAGCAAAGTGCCCTAAAAATTGTTTACTCAAAGGTGTGGCTGTTTGATAATTACTTTTGGGGAATGGTATTTAAAAGAGAAAGCCTGCCAGCACCCATGGTTCACACCTGTAATCCTAGCTACTCAGGATTGAAATCTGAAGATTGGGGTTCAAGCTCAGCCCAAGTGAATAAATCCATGTTAACAAGCAAAAAAGCCAGATCTGTGACTCAAGTAAGTGGTAGAGCACCAGACCTGAACAGAAAAAAAAAACCAAGTAAGAGTACAGAGCCCTGAGTTCAAGTCCCAGCACCAGCACATTAATTAATGAAAGCCTAAAATATATTTTGCCTGAGATACCCAAAATGACAACCCTTCAGTGGTGGGATGCATTGAGGAATGGACAGTTGAAGTGAGGAGATACATTTATCTTGCAGACAGGTGACTTTCTGGCTAAGGCTTGACTCATAACCCTTGCAGGTAGTGTTGTTTTCCAACATAGACCTTGTGTGTGGTTAGAGAAGTAATCACATCTCCCAAATGAGAACCAGGCAGGGTATCTTTATGCTCAAAGGCTACAGTTTTAGGTGAGCATCCCTGATTAGTACCAGAAAAGTATCTATCTCCATTGGTACAAGAAAGAAAAGAAGGCAGGCAGGAAGGAAAAACGATTATCATCCCGTTTTAACTGAATCTGTGAGTCTGTTTGGAACCAGTCATAGAGCTGCAGATCAGGGCTGTCAGTTTCCTTGCCTCAGCTGGGAAATAACTGAGTGAGCTTTTTTTTTCTCTCCCAGACAAAGCAGCATCCTGCTTCAATATCTGTGCTGGCTCTGCCTACACAGAAATTTCCATTTTCCCTGTTAACCTTCCCAACAAAAGCAGGGAGCTGCTGGGAGTCAATGGCTCACACCTGTAATCCCAGCTGCTTAGGCTCAAGTGGTAGATCACCAGCCTTGCACAGGGAAAAAAAAAAAAACAGGCAAGATCTCAAGGCACTAAGTTCAAATCCCAGTACTGGCACAAAAAGAAAGAGGGAGTCTATTTTGGAAGAAATAGACGTAGGCATCAAGTGACTGAGATGCTCTTTCTAAGTCTTCCATTTAGTAACTGTGTCCTTATTGTCTCTCAGACCTCAGTTTTCTATCTGTAACCTAGAGATGGCACTTACCACCTAGCTACCTCCACAGGAATGAACGAGTTGGCACCACACAGAGAGCCTGCCAAACGGTGACAGTTTTCTGAGAGCTTCCTCCAACTGCAGTTATGCCTGGCACTTACCTGGCTAGAATTTTTCAATGTTAGGAGACACTCTGAAGATCCCTTTTCTCAGAGAAGACTCAACAAAATTTTGATTCTTACTTTTAATAGGAACTTTCATCAACCACATGAACTGACTGAGGACCCAGTGACCGTGGCTCACGCCTGTCAACCTAGTCACTCAGGAGGCTGAGATCTGAGGATCACAGTTCAAAGCCAGCCCAGTCAAGCAAACTGGAGAGACTCTTATCTCCAACTAACGAAGAAACTGCAAGAAGTGAAGCTGTGGCTTAAGTGTTAGAGCATCAGCCTAGAGTGAGAAGGTTAAGCAAGAGTGCAAGGCCCTGAGCTCAAGCCTCAGTACCAGCATTAAAGAAAGAAAAACCTAGTATCTGGGTCACTTCATAAAGGCCTCTCTGCTCCTCACCATGACTTAACACACAGAGGAAGTACCCACATAGCACTGGATAACTATTCTTGCAAGTCCCCAAAAAACACATAAAGAAAAGTAGCTACCCCTGGGACAGTCTCTCACTCAAGGCAGGATAGAGTTCATGGCTGCTAAGAAAGCTCTCTCCTGGAACTCATCAGCCCATGCCATAAGGAAGGCCACGGACTAGAGCAACTCAGGCCACTGCTCCATCCAGCATTAGTCATGTGTGTGGTAAGAATGGGCCCAGGACCCCAACAGCATCTCCCTTTCCACTCCTCCAACCTCCTCTTCCCTTCTTCCCTTGACCCCGCAGGAGCCTTCCATGCCTCTCCTTGTACAAATGATTGACAATCCAAGTTAGCAAAGTCTAGATGAAAGAGGTAGGAGAAGATTTGGATGGAAAAGGTTTGAGTTCAAATAAAACATGTAAGATGCAGCAAGTGTGTGCTTGGCAGCCATTGTGAATAGATGGAGAGGATTTCCCTTATTATAGTTATGTTATTAGCACTAAATATGGGCTTGGGAAAGGGAGAAGAAAAGGAAATGAAATTTGAGGTTCACAAGTTGGGTAAGAAGCCAGGTGCTGGTGGCTCACACCTATAATCCTACTCAGGAGGCTGAGTTCTGAGAATTGAGGTTTGAAGCCAGCCTTGGGCAGAGACATCAGAGAAACTCTTACTTCCAATTAACCATCAAAAAATGCAGGAAGTGGAGGTGTGGCTCAAGTGGTAAGGTGCTAGCCTTGAGCAAATAATGCCTAAGTATGAGGCCCCAAGTTCAAGACTCAGGACCAAAACAAAGTGGTAAGGGGCCTCCAAGTAGCAGTGGGACTGACTATAGTCTCTAGCCTCAAAGCCCTCTGGAAGTTCCCCCAGGGCATTTCAGAATTCTAGAAAATTTCCTGGATTTACCTAGAGAGAAAAGGAGACAGTTCCTTTGCCTTTTCTGTATCTGCTTTTTTATTCCACCTGTGAAACAGGAGACTAAAGGTTGAACAAAGAAGCACAACCTTCACAAGCTAGCTGGGGAAATCTCTGGTGAAAGAGGCATTGGTAGAATATCAGACCTCTATTCTTCAACCCTCCCCATTCTGTATCAGACTAATAATCACTGTTAGACTGTTACAAAACGAATAAAACTAACTGAACTTTTCACCACGGTTGTTGTTTTTTCTTGATTTATCTTGTTTTTTCTTGATTAGTGAAGAGCCTGCCTCAGTCTCTAGATATTCTTCTTTTGGGATTGGGGACCTAAGAGGGGAAAGAAGAAGTGGAATACTGGTAAACCTTGAACAACCAGCTCTCTCCAGGATAAAGTAGTCCAGGATAAAGAGACTGGTGGCTCATGTCTTAATCCTTAGCTACTCAGAAGGTTGAGATCTGAGGATGGCAGTTTGAAGCCAGTCTGAGAAGGAAAGTCAATATAACCATTATCTACAATTAACCAGGAAAAAAAGCCAGAAGTGCAGCTGTGGCTCAACTGGTAGAATACCATCTTTGAGTGAAAAGGCCAAGTAAAACTGGGTGCCAGTGGCTCACGCCTGTAATCTTAGTTACTCAGGAAGCTTGACATCTGAGGATCACAATTCAAAGCCAGCCAGGGGAAGAAAGTCTGAGACTGTTATCTCCAATTAACCACCAGAAAAACAGAAGTGGCACTGTGGCTTAAAGTGGTAGAGCATTATTCTTTAGCTGAAGAGCTCAGGGACAGCACCCAGGCCCAGAGTTCAAGCCCCATGACCAAAAAAAAAGGCCAAGTAAGAGTGTGAGGCCCTGAGTTCAAGCCCCAGTACCGACAATAAACAAAGTAATAAAAAAATAAAATCTTAATTTCAAACCTTTCTTCAAAGAAAAGTTTACATCATGATTCACACAAGCCAAAAAAGAAAAGAGTTTAAAGAATTCAAGAATACAAAATAGGAAAGGGCTATTGATGAAAAATGACACTTAATTACCAAATTAACACAAAATTAATTGAATGTAACTATAATAATCCTTTTCCTCTCCTGGTTCCAGGGCTGGAATTCTAGGCCTCAAATTTGCTAAGCAGGCTTTCTGCTTCTTAAGCATACCCTAGGTAAGTAATTTTCAGATAGGATCTTATTTTTTACAATTTTTTATTGGTATTATAAAGGTGACATATAAAGGGCTTACAGTTACATAAGTCAGGGAAAGAGCACATTTCTTTTCTTTTTCTTGGGTGGGGGGGGGGGGTCTGGTTGTGGGGCCTGAACTCTGGGCCTGGGCACTGTCCCTCAGCTCTTCAGCTCAAGGCTAGCACTCTACCACTTGAGCCACAGTGCCACTTCCGGCTTTTTTCTTTTTGCTTATGTGGTGCTGAGGAATCAAACCCAGGGCCTCAGGCATGCAAGGCAAGTGCTCCACCACTGAGCCACCTTCCCAGCCCCAAGAGCACATTTCTTTTTGGACAATGACACCCTTTCTTCACTTTCTCCCAGTTTTTCCCTCTGGTCCCCACCCACAAGTTGTAGAGTTCATTTTCAATATACTGTCTAGTGAGTACCACTGCTACATTTGTTTACCCTTGACTCTCCATTTCTGTGTTATGGGTCTTGATTTTTTGCCCATACTGGCTCAGTCCACAATATTCCTATTTATGTCTCCTGTATAGGTGGGATGATTGGTGAGTATCACCTAGACCAGGGGGTTGTTAATTGTTGTTGTTGAGATGAGGTCTCTTTTTGATTAAGTTGGCCTTGAACCAAGATCCTCTGATCTCTACCTCCCAAGTATTTGGCGGCTGGCCAAATGTGATTATTATTATTATTATTATTAATTAATCATTATTAATTTTAAACTAAGATTTAAAATCACAGATTATGGCAGGCACTGGTGGCTCACATATATAATTCTAGCTACTCAGGAGTGTGAGATCTGAAGACTGAGATTTGAAGCCAGCAAGAGCAGAAAAGTCCATGAGATGCTTATCTCCAATAAACTACACAGTAAAAGCCAGAAATGATTCTGTGGCTCAAAGGGTAGAGAGCTAGCTTTGAACACAAAGAGACTCAAGGACAGCGCCCAGGGCCTGAGTTCAAGCCCTAGGACTGGCATATCATCATCATCATCACCATCATCATCCAAGATTATATTAACATAAATTTATAAATTGTGAGGGGTGCAGGGAATAAGGGAGAAGAATGTGAGAAAGTAGAAATGCCTCTATTTTCTCAACTTACAACAATATTATTTTAATTTTTTATTTAGTAAATAGAAAAATATTGGGTAAAAAGGTTATTTTGAAACAAAATGCTTCTAAAATACTACTGGGGAAAAAAAGAATAAGCCAGACACTGTGGCTCACGCCTGTAATCCTAGCTACACAGGAGGCTGAGATCTGAGGATTGAGGTTCAAAGCCAGCCGGGGCAAGTAAAGTCTGTGAGACTCTTACCTCCAAAAAACAACTAGAAAACTGGAAGTGGTGCTGTGGCTCAAGTGGTAGAGCACTAGCCTTGAGCTGAAGAGCTGAGGGATAGCGCCCAAGGCCAGAGTTCAAGCCCCACAACCGGCCAAAAAAAAAAAAAGATAAGTATCTCACGAACTGCCTAAGCTGGCTTCGAACCCCGATCCTCAGATCTCAGCCTCCCCAGTAGCTAGGACAGCAGGTAGTGCTTTAGAGCTTCTGGTTCCCGGTATTAACTAACACCCACCCCTTTCAATCGGGCCGCCCTTCATTAGGCCCCGCCCTTAGCTCCCAGAGTCTGCCCCGCCCCCTCTAGCCGAAGGCCGGATGTCGCCGCTGATTGGCTGAAGGAGTCGCAGTTTGCTTGCGTCAGTGTGAAGCCCGGACTTGCCTGCGACTGCCGGCGGGCAAAGGCCGCTCGCGAGCCAGGGCTGGTGGCCCTAATGTGGGGCTGTCATGGGGCGTGAGGAGCGGAGACTTCACCATGAGTTTCCTGATCGACTCAAGCATCGTGATTACGTCCCAGGTGAGTCCCCGCCCCCCCCACGTCCCGCCTCTCCTGAGCCTCTCTCTGGGCGTTGGGAAGGAGGTCGGCGACGCCTGAGCCCCCGGGAGAAGGCGGCCTCTGCTCGCGCCCCCAACCCAGCGTCCACCCCCAGACTCTCTGGGCCGCTTTTGAGGGGCTTCACCCGGTCCCAGCGTTAGGAGCTCAAGCCACGACGAGGGCGGGTTCCCACAGATCCCGGGGGGACTTGGGGACGACGTCGCGGACCCCGAGTGGTCCAGGTGCGGGCGTTGGGCCTGCCCTCCGGGGCTGAATGCTCAGGGTTATCGGGCCCTGGCTTGGGGTGCAGCAGTGTTTGCCCAGTGAGTTGGAAGTGTAAGGCACCCTTCACTCTGCTCGCCAATCCCTCTTTTCTGATCGTCTTCAGACCCGTGTTTCTTGCCCCAGTCGGCCACCTTTGTTCATTCCCACAGTCACCATATATCATTTATTCCCACTGTGCAAAAAAAAAAAAATTAAGACACGGCCATTCTGGCACACTAGGCGCGTGTCTACTGAGCTTTCTGATTTTTAGGACCTTTATCGTTGCTCAGTTTATTGTCTTCCTAGTATTTATCGTTTATGTATTTATTTTTTGAGATTTGCTGTATACTCACCTCCAAATGAAAGCTCCGGAGAAGTAATTGTTGGAGCCGGGCACAGGTGGCTCACACCTGTAAATCCTCGCCACTCAGGAAGTTGAAAGCCCGAGGATCCTGGTTCAAAGCCAGTCTGGGATAACAGGTCTTCTAGACTTTTGTCTGTAATTAACCAGCAAAGGGCTGGAAGTAGAGGTGTGGCTCCAGTGGTAGAGCCTGAGGCTTGAGTGAAAAAGCCAAACGAGAACGTTAGACTCTGAGTTCAAGCCCCAGTACTAGAATCAAAAAGAGCCACACACACACACACACCATTTTATCTGTTTTATATGAACTGAAAGTTTTATTTGAAATAAAATCTAAAATCACAGCAGACAGCATCTTCATTTATCAATGAAGCACAAACTCCTTAGTATGGTTTATAAGGTTACTAGATTGGGATGCTGGCTGTTGTGTGTGTGTGTGCGCACACGCACGTATGTGTGTGCATGTGTATGTGCATGTGCATGTGTGCCTGTGTTTTGTTTTGGTGCCAGTACTGGGGCTTGAATTCAGGCCAGGATGCTATGCCTTAGCTTTTTTTTTTTTTCTTAAGGCTGGCACTCTGCCACTTGATCCATAGTTCTACTTCCAGTTTTTTGCTGGTTAATTGGAGATAAGAGTGTTTTACAACTTTCCTGCCCAGGCTAGCTTTGAACTACAGTCCTCAGATCTCAGCCTCCTGAATAGCTAGGATTACAGGCATGAGCCGTCAGCACTTTAAGCTCTTAAGCACTGGCTCTCACCCTGTCTCTCTTTACTGAAGACTAAGCTTCTTAACCTGGTAGTACTATTATTCCTTCAGATTTTCAGTCACATCTCTTTCTAGACCTTTGCTCATATTCCTCCATTTCTTACTCCTGGCTACCTCCTATTCAGCCTTCATACCTCAGCTTGAATATCCAAGTAGCCTGTCCCAGACTGGATTGACAGTGGATGGTATACATGCTGCCATAGTACTCCACACCCACTTCCCTTTATAACAACACCACCAGACTTTGGGTTGTAATTACTTGTCATTCTTCTCCTTGGAGAGCAATTATTTGCTTTCTTATTCACCATATATCCTAGGACCACCTGGTACTAATAAATATTTGTTGAATAAAAGGGTGAATTAATGATTCAAGGAAGATACCTTCAGTTCTTTAATACTCGTCTCGCTAATAATGGCTGTCTTTTCTTTTTAATCTATAGCTACTTTTCAACTTAGAGACCATTTTTATGGCAGTAGCAATTATCTAACCTAATGTTTTGAGCCATCTATTCAGATAAGATTTATCAGTTCCAAAGTACACTTTCCCCCAAAGTCAAAAGTCTACTGCACACAATTCTAAAACTATTATTCTTTTAAATCAGAAGTTGCACACCTTCCACGTATGTACGCACTTTCCTCATGCATACTTTTCAGATCTTGTATAATCTTTCCAGAATTTGTATTTATTGTAAATGCAATAAATTGTCTTTAAAACAAACAATGCTGAGCAAGCCAGCCCTGAGGACCTGAGTTCAAGCCCCAGTACTGGTGCGTGTGCATACACACACACACACACAATATTTACATTTACTCTAGAAGTCATTTGGAAGGCAGAAAATAATTTCATTCATAAAATTCCTAGCTAATACAAGAAGAAAACTGGAATTATGTCAGAGAGAGAGAGTGTGTATGTGTATTTGTAAACAGAAGGTTCTGTTTACTAGTGAAAAACGAGCTGTCAGCTTGTGAGCTGCCATGTAACAGTTTGACTCAAAATCAATAAAGATGGGATCCTACACTCTTGTCTTCACACTGACCGAGATGGAAACTTTCTGTAGACTCAGCAGGGTGGTGGAGAGGCGAAGAATGTTCTCTGAAGGACACATACAAAAAGTACTGTCTTTCTACTCCTGTTTCTATGTCAACTTGTCTTTGGAGTTTTTGTTTGTTTTTTAATACTTGAAAAAAAAGGGATTACCTGTAAGCCAAGAGTTCCTGTGCCCTTGCTTGGTAACTTCTCTGACTCATAAAATGATTAGCATAACATATTTTTCTGTAACAGGAATTATTTTATTTAAGAGCATTTCACTTCTCTTTTTAGAGTTGTGAGTGAATCTTATCTTTATTCTCTGAAATAAGTTGTCTAAGTAGACAATTGTATTAAAATATATTCATATATCACTAATATAATATTGACATATAATTAACATCATAAAATAGTCACTATGAGGCATTGCCCTAAAGAAGATGTATATTAATATTCTTTGTCCTTTTTCTAGATTCTGTTTTTTGGATTTGGGTGGCTTTTCTTCATGCGCCAGTTGTTTAAGGATTATGAGGTAAGGAGAGCTGTGGATTATACTATATGAATTTAAATTATTTAAGCTGGGATGAGAAAAATGCTCTGTTAAAGAAAGGTCATGATGGGCTGGGGAGGTAGCTCAGTGGTAGAGCGCTTGCCTTGCATGCCTGAGGCCCTGGGTTCGATTCCCCAGCACAATATAAGCAAAAAGACAAAAACCAGAAGTGGCGCTATGGCTCAAATGGTAGAGCGCTAGCCTTGAGCTGAAGAGCTGAGGGGCAGCGCCCAGGCCCAGAGTTCAGGCCCCACAACTGGACCCAAAAAAAAAAAAAGAAAGGTCATGTTCATTTCCAGGTAACTTTTGCCAAATGAGAAACCACGTGCAGTGGTGAGGTACCAGCCTATGATTTGTACATTTAAAAGTGAAAAGGTGGGGCTGGGAAGGTGGCTCAGTGGTAGAGTGCTTGCCTTGCATGCATGAGGTCCTGGGTTTGATTCCCAGCACCACATAAACAGAAAAGGCCGGAAGTGGTGCTGTGGCTCAAGTGGTAGAGCACTAGCCTTGAGCTGAAGAACTGAAGCAGCCCAGGCCCAGAGTTCAGGCCCCATGACTGACTAAATAAATAAATGTGAAAAGGTGTTGTGTACAGGAATGGGAGGGGGAGCTGGGGAAAAGTGAAGGAAAGGATGACATTGTCCAAAAAGAAGTATAAAAAATCTGGGCACTGGTGGCCCACCCTTGTAATCCTCCCTATTCAGAAGGATGAGATCTGAGGATTGCGGTTCAAAGCCAGTCTGGACCAGCAGTCTATGAGACTTATCTCCAGTTAACCAGCAAAAACCTGGAAGTGGGACCATGGCTCAAGTAATAGAGAGCCAACACTCACACCCTGAGTTCAAGCCCCAGTACTGGTATGATGAATGGATGAATGAATGAATGAATGATGAATGAATGAATGTATGTGAAAAAAAACTAATCTACATATGTCTCAGGAGCAGGAGACATCATTCCTTAGTCATAAGGACATGTTCCTACAGCAATTCTTTTTTGGGAGAGAATTTGTGTCCTAAATATTTGTCTATGTACCTGTGAATTACTAGTCTCACATTTTCAGTTAATGCTAAAATCCTAAGGCTAAAACTGGTTTTTATTTTCAGCCTTAAACTGGACATTTCTTAAGTGATTCTCCTTATTCAGAAATAAAAGCAATAGTTATAGATTACCAGGTCATTTCTAGAATATTCTTGAGTAATTTGAGAGGGTGTCAGAAAGTGCCTGGAGCTCTAGAGATTCTCCTCTGTTGAATACTTGAAGGCTTTGACAGGAGGTTCCAGAACTGATGCAAGATGTGCAGAGGGCCAGCTGTGAGCCAGACGGCCAAATGAGAGCACCAAGTGCCTGAATTCAATCCCTGGAACTGGCACAGCAACAAAATTTGTGTGCAGATCCGTGGGTGTTTTTGTCAGCAAGCGTGGGAGTTCTAAGTACCGCTCTGACCCTTTCCCTCCATCCTTTGCTCTGTCCTCTATAACCACAAGAGTGGGGCCTGGCACTCACCAGTACTTCCTACTTTGGTGTACTTTTGATCCAGGCCCTGCTTCTAACGTCTTGAGAATTTTTCCAACCTAAGTATTCTGACTTGTCACTAGGAGGAGATTTTCCATTTAATATTTCTTTTTTGACTTTCAACAGGTGCGTCAGTATGTCGTACAGGTGATCTTCTCTGTGACTTTTGCGTTCTCTTGCACTATGTTTGAGCTTATCATCTTTGAAATCTTAGGTGTGCTGGACAGCAGGTGAGTAAGGACTCCAGAGCCATTCCTTGCAGAGTTTGCCCATGCCTGATAATGTATAGGTCACCTGAGTTGCATAGTAAAAAGCCCAACCTGGGAATAGCTCAGCCTTGGATACTGTAGCAGTCTTCCTACCTGCAGGTCTCATAAACTTGGTAACTAGTTTGGGAAAGATCATGAGTTATGGGGGGGAAAATGTCTGACCATTTGCTCTGAAGAGCTCACTACTTGTGATGTGATATGAGAACCTAGGTCCCAGCTTCTCTTCTAGAGGCTTTTTTTTTTTTAATCAGTCAAGGCTTGAACTCAGGATTTTGGTGCTGTCCCTGAGCTTTAGCGCTACCACTTTGAGCCACAGCTTCATTTCTGGTTTTCTGGTGGTTAATTGGGAAATAAGATTATCAAACTGCAAAACAAATTGTTTAAATAGGGGTACAGGTGGACCCATTGCTACAATGAGAGGTACAAGACATTATGTTGAAAAACGAAATTTACAACTTTGACGTGGGGGGTGGGAGGTATGGGAAGGGAAAACGAGGCAACAACGCTTGATAGGAAATGTACTCATTACCTTGCTCATGTAATTGTAACCCCTCTGTACGGTATTTTCACAATTAAAAAAAAAATTTTTTTTAAAGAGTATCAAACTGCAATCCTCAGATCTCAGCCTCCTGAGTAGCTCGGATTACTTTCTGGCATTCATTTTTGTGAAAGTGCATATTACATTGCTCAAAAAGACTTCCACCTGATATTTCACACACCCATATACCCTCTTTTGATCAGATAAAACCATGGCCTACTCTCTTCCTTCCCCAACCCCAAGAGCCTTTGGAAGACTAAAAGGGAGGAAAGTTGTTGCTCGACCCCTCCCTTGCAGTGCTATTCCTTGATGTTTCTTTCAGCTCTCGTTACTTTCACTGGAAAATGAACCTGTGTATTATTCTGATCATCTTGGTTTTCCTGGTGCCTTTTTACATTGGCTATTTCATCGTGAGCAACATCTGGCTGTGTGAGTATGCGTCTCCTCCCGTCCCACCAGCACACATTGGGCTGCAGGCTGACAGGGATTTTGGTCCCGCGCAGCTTCATTCCCATACTTCCATAGCTGCTGCTGTCTGGATCATCTCCAGCATCTCAGACTGCTCACAGAAGGAGTACTCAGTGAATAATGAGAGCTTTGTCCTGCCAAGCTTTACTTCTACCCCTTCTATGCTGATTTGTGGTGGTGGTGGTAATGGTGGTACCAGTACCAATACTGAGGCTTAAATTTAGAGCCTCAAGCTCTCACTTAGCTTTTCTAATCAAGAATGGCATTCTACCACTTTAGCCACACCTTCACTTCAGGCTTTTTGTTGGATAATTGGAGATTTGTATGCCCTGGTTGGCTTCAAACTGTGATCCTCAGATCTCAGCCTCCTGAGTAACAAGGATTACAGGCATGAGCTACTGGCACCATCTGTATACTGTTTCCTTAATCGAATCCACATCTTAACTTGAGCCAAGTTTCTTTCAGGGTGTAAGGGATATATTCACTAAAACTTGGGTAGTGACATCACATATCAAGTTAGCAGCCAGCTAAATACTAATTAGCATTAGCATAAGTTTATATTTAAAAAAAAATAGAACAAGCTCTGTAATAGATGATCTTCTCTCCCCTTAGTGCATAAACAGCAACTGCTTTTTTCCTGCCTCTTGTGGTTGACCTTTATGTATTTCTTCTGGAAACTGGGAGAACCATTTCCCATTCTCAGCCCAAAACATGGTGAGTACATGGGGATAGGTGGAATGTGAAGAAGGGTGGTTTGACTTTTTAGTGTTGAATAAAAAGAGGATGTCATTTTTAAACTTTATTCTAAAACACTCCTGACTTTGAAGCCAGGCTCTGGTGGCTCACACCTGTAATCTTACTTCCTCAGGAGGCTGAGATCTGAGGGTCAAGGTTCAAAGTCAGCCCGGGCAGACAGATCTGTATGACACTTATCTCCAATTAGCAAAAAGCCAGAAGAGGAGGTGTGGCTTAAGTGGTAGAGTGCCAGCTTGAGTAGAAAAAGCTAAAGGACAGCACCTAGTCACTGAGTTCAAGCCCTTGTACCAGCATGCGTGCACACACATACAAACCAGACCAAAAAACTCACACATTTGCCTTTCAATTATTGATCCAGAATTTCAGCATTAAGTGCTGAAATTTATTAAATGCATTTTGTATTTAGTAGAAGCTAGAATAAGACACAAGCTAAAGAGTATGGCCTATGAGCTGGGCGCTGGTGGCTCATGCCTATAATCCTAGCTACTCAGGAGGCTGAGATCTAAGGATCACAGTTCAAAGCCAGCCTGGGTAGCAAAGTCCGTGAAACTCTTATCTCCAGTAAACCACCAGAAAACTGGAAGTGGCGCTGTGGCTCAAATGGTAGAGCGCTAGCCTTGAGCTGAAGAGCTGATGGACAGCACCCAGACCCACAGTTCAAATCCTACCACTGACCAAAAAAAAGAGTATGGCCTATGAGGGACATGTCACAAGATCTGCTTTCCTAATTCGTTGGGTTTTTTGTTTTTTGTTTTTTTTTTTTGGCCACAGCTTTTACTGAAAGTACTTTGCTTTGTTAGTCATACTCCCAAATGAAACAGTCATAATGTGGTACTTACAATTACTGTATTTTACTGTTGTCATGGCTTATGTCCATGCCTTTCTATATATGATAGAGAAGTGCCACACTGATCATTGAAAGTTGTCTTCTCTGAACTAGGTCTCAGTAATGGTGGGTGTTGTACGTGGTGGTTTTTTAGAGTAGAGGTGAGCGCTGTCTCACCACATTACCTGACTGTGCTTTGGCGATTCCAGGCATCTTGTCTATAGAGCAGCTCATCAGCCGGGTGGGCGTCATTGGAGTGACCCTCATGGCCCTGCTATCTGGATTTGGTGCTGTCAACTGTCCCTACACATACATGTCCTACTTCCTGAGGTAATGCATGCAGTCTCTTCTTATTCCTCATAACTCAAGTACGCATGCCATCTTAGATCTGTTATGTTGCCTGTTTACTTTTCTTCCTCTGTCCCTAGGGGTATCGACTTGAAATCTTTTTTTTTTTTTTTTTTTTTGGGTCCGGTCGTGGGGCCTGAACTCTGGGCTTGGGCACTGTCCCTCAGCTCTTCAGCTCAATGCCACTTCCAGCTTTTTTCTTTTTGCTTATGTGGTGCTGAGGAATCGAACCCAGGGCCTCAGGCATGGAAGGCAAGCACTCTACCACTGAGCCACCTTCCCAGCCCCTCGACTTGAAATCTTTCTAAATAAGTCATAGCACTTCTATGGATTGTGTTTTTTTTTTTTTAATTTGTCCTGTATTCTTTGTTTCTTTTGGGGGGTTACTAGGGTTTTACTCGGCCCTATGCTCGCTAAGTGTGGGTGCTTTACTACTTGAGCCACTCTGCTGGTCTCTTTACATTATTTTCAAGATAGGGAAAATAAGTATATACAAACAATAAGCATCTAACTCAAAGCTAAGAAAGCTAGGTACTCCTGCTGGTCACCGGGGGCTCACGCCTGTAATCCTAGCTACTCAGGAGGCTGAGATCTGAGGATCGAGGTTCAAAGCCAGCCCGGGCAGCAAAGTCCATGAAACTCTTATCTCCAATAAACCACCAGAAAACTAGAAGTAGCGCTGTAGCTCAAGTGGTAGAGCGCTCACCTTGAGCTGAAGAGCTGAGGGACAGTGCTCAGGCAGAGTTCAAGCCCCACAACCAACAAAAAAAAGAAAAAGAAAAGATAAGAAAGCTAGATACTTTGTGCTACACTGAGACCCCAGAAAAATTAGTTACAAGAAATGACAGCTCCCAGGTGCCAGTAGCTAACACCTTAGCTGTTCAGGAGGCTGAGATCTGAGGATTTATGTTTGAGGCCAGTTTGAGCAAGAAGGTTCATCAGACTCTTACCTCTAACCAGCAAAAGGCTGGAAGTGGAGGTATAGCTCACTTGAGCCAGCTTTGAGCAAAAGCTGTTAAGGGGCAGCTCCTAGGTCCTGAATTTAAGCCTCAGTATTGGCACCAAAAAGAAAGAAAAAACACCCAGTACCAGTGGTTCATGCCTGTAGTCCTTGTTACTGAAGGCTGAGATCTGGGGATTATAATTCAAATCCACTCTGAGCAGGAAAGTTGGTGAGATGATCATCTCCAGTTGGCCACCAAAAAGCTGGAAGTGGAGCTGTGGCTCAAGCCTCAAAACTGGTACACAAAAGAAGAAATGACAACAAAAGTAGTTTAGTTTAGTCATTTTAATATTTTCTGGAAAAAGACAGGCTAACAACTGGGGTGTATGTGTTTCTCCAGATGGCCTGTGTTGTGCCCAGGCGTGGCCCCTAGCCCTACTAACTGTGTGCACTTCCATAGGAACGTGACAGACACAGATATCATGGCACTGGAGCGGAGACTGCTGCAAACCATGGACATGATCGTCAGCAAAAAGAAAAGGTGAGGGCGAGCCTTTGAAAGCCTGTGTTTGGGGCCTGCTGCGTGCCTGCATCCCTGCACTTGGAGGCAGAGGCACAAGTGTGAGGCCAAGGGAGGACATGGAGGCCAGGTGGAGCTGCACGGAGAGACTGTCTCAAAGACAAACACAAAAATATCTCAAAAAGATAATAATAATATGTTAAGACCTAGAGAGCCCCTAGGAGAGTATGAACAATGTTTGTTGGTGGTGGTGGTGGTGGTGGTGGTGGTCCTAGGGCTTTAACGCTATCACTCAGCGCTTCAACTCAGGGCAAGCGCTCTACTGCTTGAGCCACAGTGCCACTTCCAGTTTTCTAGTGGTTTATTGGAGATAAGAGTCTCACGGACTTTCCTGCCCGGGCTGGCTTTGAACTATGATCCTCAGATCTCAGCCTCCTGAGTAGCTAGGATTACAGGCGTGAGCCACTGTGCCTGGCAAATATTTATTTTTGTCGGTTATGGGGCTTGAACTCAGGGCCTGGGCACTGTCCCTGAGCCTCTGTGCTCAAACTAGCTAGCACTCTACCACTTGAGCCACAGAGCCACTTCAATGTTTAAACTTACTATTAATCTTTACTGGATAACCGCTACTTGGTTTTTATTCTTTGCCTTCATATGTTTATTCATTTAATTGTTTCAGACAATCTAATATCTGCTGGGCACTAGATTCCAGAGATAGAACAATGAACAAGGTAGTCATTTCTCACCTTCACAACATTTATTAGTCTCCTGTTTATATTATTGCCAGACACGGTGGCTATGCCTGTAATCCCAGCTATTCAGGAAGCAGAAGTCCAAGGACAGTAATGTCCAAGGTTAGCCTAGGCAAAAAGTCCAAGACAGTATCTGAAAAATAAACTAAAGCAGAGAAGTACTAGAGTGGTAGAGTACTTGCCTACCACAAGGCCCTGAGTTCAAACCCTGGTCCCACCATAAAAATAAATGAATAAAAATAAAGTCATTATTACCCACATACAAATGGTAGCCCAGAGGTTTTGAATTGCAACAAGTATGTTCTGATTTCTTATTTCTTCCACACCATAGTTCTATAGTTTGATCTATACACAAGACTCAGAATAGGAGAGCACCTGAGACATTGGAATGACAAAGAAGACTTTGAAGTGCTAACTACTGATTTGTGTCCTTGTATGTCTTTACTGAGACATATGACTGTATTTACTTTGCATATATATATTTATATTCAGAGCAGTTTATTTATGTAAATGTCTGTGTAGGTTTTTTTTTTTAAGTATAGCCATAAGAGCCACATGAATAGTAAGAGATAAGTATATAAGAACAACACTATTTGGGCTCCCAAGGTTTGTTGTATTTCTTTCGGTCACTGATAAATAATACTTAATTAAAGGTGAAGTCACAAACTGGGCGCTGGTCATTTGTGACTCTGTAATCCTAGCTACTCAGGAGGCTGAGATGTGAGGATTGTGGTTAAAAGCAGACCTGGGCAGAAAAGTCCATGCATCTCTTAACCAACCAAAAGCCAGAAATGAAGCTGTGACTCTGGTCAGTCACCAGTCTTGAGCAGAAAAAGCTAATCAAGAGCACAAGGCCCTAAGTTCAAACCACAGTACCAACACCAAAAAATGTTTTAAAAATAAAAAGTACAGTCATGACAAAAGCAACATTTCCAAGCCTCTCGTATGTGTTGCAGTTAGAGTTGGCTGTGATTGCGCATGTCGCGGTCCGGTTTCTCTGTCAGCCCTCATCTGGCCAGGAAGGTTTTTTTGTTGTTGTTTTTTGTGTTTTTTTGTTGTTGTTTTTTGTTTTTTTTGCCGGTCATGGGGCCTGAACTCTGGGTCTGGGCACTGATCCTCAGCTCTTCAGCTCAAGGCTAGTGCTCTACCACTGGAGCCACAGCGCCACTTCAGGCTTTTTCTGTTTATGTGGTGCTGAGGAATCGAACCCAGGGCCTCATGCTTGCAAGGCATGCACTCTACCGCTGAGCTACCTTCCCAGCCCCCAGGAAGGTTTTTTTGTCCTTTAAGACTTCAGTCTTCTTTATTTTTTATTTTTATTTATTTTTTTTGCCAGTCCCAGAGCTTGAACTCAGGGCCTGGGCACTGTCCCTGAGCCACAGTGGTGCCACTTCCGGCTTTTTCTGTTTATGTGGTACTAAGGAATCAAACCCAGGGCTTCATGCATGCTAGGCAAGCACTCTACCACTAAGCCACATCCCCGGCCCTCCATCTTATTATTAACTTGAGAGGACCAACCTACTAACTTGACTTAATTAGCAATCTCCCAGTGATCTTATGGCTCCAGAGGCAGTAAACATGACAGCACTGGCTCCTGGGATTCATTAGCATCCTTCCTTCTCACCTAGTCCAATCTATTTTTTTCAAAATTCTCATCCTTGAGAAGTAGTGACTAGTACTTAACAGTAGAGGGCCACAGTGAGATGCCACACAAGAACACTGTCCCATACAAACGAGCAGTGTGATAGAAATACTGCATAAAATTTCTTTTGTGAGCCGGGCGCTGGTGGCTCACGCCTGTAATCCTAGCTACTCAGGAGGCTGAGATCTGAGGATCACGGTTCAAAGCCATCCCGGGCAGGAGAGACCGTGAGACTCCTATCTCCAATAAACCACCAGAAAACCGGAAGTGGCGCTGTAGCTCAAGTGGTAGAGCGCTCGCCTTGAGCTGAAGAGCTGAGGGACAGCGCCCAGGCCCAGAGTTCAAGCGCCACGACCGACAAAAAAAAAAAATTTCTTTTGTGTGTGTGGGGTGGGAGGAGGGGGGTGGTGTATGATAGTATTAGAACTTGAACTCGGAGCCTGGGCATTATCCCTTTGCTTTTTCCCTCAATGGTAGCACTCCAGCACTTAAGCCACAGCTCCATTTCTGCCTGTTTTGAGTCTTTATAATTGGAGATACCATGTCTCATGGACTTTCCTGCCCCAGCTCAAATCTCAGCCTCCAGAGTAGGATTGCAGGTATGAGCCACCAGCACCTGGCATTGCACATGGTTCTATAGGTGAATAAGCTATTTTATTCTTTGCTTAAATGCCACCTGTAAGTATTAATATAATTATGTGTTGTAATGTTAACAGTAGTCTCATTGTTGTAGACATGCAGAGATAAGGGAGTAGAACTCTAGGTCTCCCGGCTTGTATGGAATAGAGCCAGTCCTCAAGTTGATGGCCTACACCAAATTCTTTGCTCCTCAGCCTAGACCATGTTGCTTCTGGAAGCGTGCCCTCCTAAGTACTAGGAAAGTGGGGCCTGCAGACCTGCGCCACAGCTGGGCGGACTGCGGTGGAGGCTGGAAGTGACTGAGCCCAGGCAGGAAGTTCCCGTTGTACTGCCTTGCTGAGCTTTGTGTTTTCTTTCAGGATGGCCGTGGCCCGGAGAACCATGTTCCTGAAGGGGGAGGTGCACAACAAGCCCTCAGGCTTCTGGGAAATGATAAAGAGCGTTACAACTTCAGCTTCCGGAAGCGAAAGTATCCTTTATCTCTCTCTACCCTGGACCCAGGGCAGAAGCTCTTGTCAGGGTGCTGACTGTGTCTGAATCCATGCTGGCCAGAGCTATGCTCAGGAAGTCTAATGCGTCCAGAGTCATCTTACCAACACCCACACAAGACCATGAAGTCATAGCGTTTGCTCCTAAAAAAGGCAGTCTTTCCATTTTTCACAAGAGAATAGACCAGAGAGATGATGCCACAGAGTGGTTTGCGGCAAAGCAAGGAACAGAACTGTGGTCTCTGCTGCTCTTTTCCACTGCTTGTATTGTATTTCCCAACTCTGGTAAAACACAAAACATCATGGATCTCTTAAACGGGTAGCTTGTTTAGGGGATGGCCCATTTGTAAAGTCATCAGTATTCTTTGACTTTTTTTTTTTTTTTTTTGCCAGTTGTGGGGCCTGAACTCTGGGCCTGGGCGCTGTCCCTCAGCTCTTCAGCTCAAGGCTACAGTGCCACTTCCAGTTTTTTCTGCTTATGTGGTGCTGAGGAATCGAACCCAGGGCCTCATGCATGCAAGGCAAGCACTCTACCACTGAGCCACCTTCCCAACCCTTCTTTGACTTTTTAATCATTATTATTAAGTAGTTATCCAAAGGGATTTCGGTTGCATGCGTTAGTTTATAAGTACAATGTGTCTGCATCCTGCCACCCTTGTATTATTCTCCCCCATGTCTCTCATCCCATCCATACCTTCAGTTACATAATTCAATTTTTACACAGTGTGCATTGAGTCTGCTTCAGTAAATTATTTTATTTTAAAAAATCAAGGTGGGCTAGATACGGATAGCTCCTGTTGTAATCCTAGCCATGCAGGAGGCTGAAATCTGAGGACTGATGTTTAAAACAAGCTCAGGCAAAAAAAAAAAAAAAAGCCCATGAGGCTCTTGCTTCCAATTAACCAGCAAAAGACTAGATATATAGCTGTGGCTCAAGTGATAGAACACTAGATTTGAGTGAAAAAGCTAAGGGACAATGCCCAAGCCCTGAGCTGAAGTCCCAGCTCCCACCCCGCCCCACCTCACCCCCCCCCCCCAAAAAAAAAACGTGTTTTGCTGGGTGTGAGCAGCTCACTCCTGTAATCTTAGATACTGAAAAGGAGATCTGGAGATTGTGGTTTGAAGCCAGCCGGGGCAAGAAAGTCCATGAGACTCTTATCTCTAGTGAATCAAAGAAAAAGCTGGAAGTAGAGCTGTGGCTCAAGTGGTAGAGCACTAGTCTTTTTTTTTTTTTCTTTTTCTTTTCTTTTTTTTTGTCGGTCGTGGGGTTTGAACTCTGGGCCTGAGCACTGTCACTCAGCTCTTCAGCTCAAGGCTAGCGCTCTACCACTTGAGCTACAGCACCACTTCCAGTTTTCTGGTGGTTTATTGGAGATAAGAGTTTCACGGACTTTGCTGCCCGGGCTGGCTTTGAACCTCGATCCTCAGATCTTAGCCTCCTGAGTAGCTAGGATTACAGGTGTGAGCCACTAGCACCCGACTGAGCATTAGTCTTGAACAAAAGAAGATCAAGGAAAGTGCCAAGTCCCAGAGTTCAAGCCCCAGAACCAGCATGCGCTCTCGCACACACCCACACAGTGTTTGAGAGATACCAAGATGATACTTTCAAAGCCCGTTTCCTAAATGAGGAACATACCACCAGTGTACACTCATTTTTTTTTTTTTTGGTCATGGGGCCTGAACTCTGGGCCTGGGCACTGTCCCTTAGCTCTTCAGCTCAATGCTAGCGCTCTACCACTTGAGCCACAGCACCACTTCTGGCTTTTTCTGCTTATGTGGTGCTGAGGAATCAAACCCAGGGCCTCGTTCATGCAAGGCAAACACTCTACCACTGAGCCACCTTCCCAGCCCCCCTCACTCACTCACTTCTTAGAAACCAGCGTAGTCCTTGGATAAGGCAGAGAGCTCCCTTTGTGTCTTCTTGGTAGCTGTTTGATTTACAGCAAGTTTTTTTACTCTCTGAGCTTAGCTTCCCTTATCTGCAAAATGGCTAACACCTTTCTCATGAAATTGTTAGAATAAGATTAAGTTAATATTTCTAAAGAGGAAAGTAACGATCACAAACCCCAGCTATGTTGGGAATCATTAATAGGCCCTTTGGCACACATTGGATTTATTTAAATAATGTAGAAGAAAACTATGCCTTGTTAGAGGTAATATTATACAATTGCTAGGTGTTGGTGACTCACACCTGTAATCCTAGCTACTCAGGAGGTGAGAGTTGAGGATTGTAATTTAAATCCAGCCCAGCCAAAAAACTTCCCTCCAACTAACTGCCACAAAACTGGAAGTAGAGTTGTGGCTCAAGTGGTAGAGCACTACCCTCAAATGAAAAAACTAAAAGATAGTGTTCAAGCCCCAGTACCAGGACAAAAATATATTATTATACAACCACTAAGATTGCATTTGACTTATAAATGAACAGAGCAAAACCATCTCTCCTAGATAACGGGACTGGAAGAAACTGCATAAGCAGGTATTTGGTTTTGTGTCGGTAGGAAAATAGCTCTGGGATAGGAAATGGAAACACAGGCAGTGCCTGGGATCTGCTATGCAGAAGAAACCAAAAGCAAATGCTTTCTTCATTGCTGTTTTTAAACTTCTGTGTGATTTAGACCTTAATGCTCATTTTGTGCCAGATCTTATGCAAATCCAACAGGAAGTAGATTCTTTGGAAGAACTAAGCAGGCAGCTTTTTCTGGAAACAGCTGATCTCCATGCTACAAAGGTACAGAACTGTGGTTTTTACTTAGGATTGAAGAAAGAACACCACTGAGTGGTTTTACCAGTTGCTCTATGACCAAACAATGCATGAAACAGACAGCCCGCAGCTGCATAGCAAGCTGTGAAGCATTAGCAATGAAGGGCTTCTTTGTATGAAATCATGCCTGTCCCCGGCAAAATCCTTAACACTATCCAAAGGTAGCCAGAAGAGGCTTTTCAACATCTGGGAAGCTGGAATGCACCATTTCCTATTGACTCAGAATAAAGATGGCAGTTTCTATGGTGCTTTTTATTCCCTAATAAATTAGTATTATTACAATAGTAGTAGGTACCTCTTTGCCATGTTCCAACCCTATTATAAAAGACCCAGAGCAAGCTGGGCACTGGTGGCTCATCTTAGCCTGCCACCCAGCAGCAGGCTAAGATCTAAAGGCTGCCTCGGCAAGAAAGTCCATGAGATGCTTTTCTCCCAAGTAACCACCAAAAAGCCAGAAGTAGAGCTATGGCTCAAGCCAGCCTTGAACAGAAAGCCAAGAGACAGGGCTGGGAAGGTGGCTCAGTAGTAGAGCGCTTGCCTTGCATGCCTGAGGCCCTGCATAAGCAAAAAATAAAAAGCCGGAAGTGGTGCTGTGGCTCAAGTGGTAGAGCGCTAGCCTTGAGCTAAAGAGCTGAGGGACAGTGCCCAGGCCCAGAGTTCAGGCCTCACGACCGGACCCAAAAAAAAAAAAAGCTAAGAGACAGCACCCAAGTTCTGAGTTCAAGCCTTAGTACACGCACAGATACAAAAAAAGATTGGCATTGATAATGCATGTTAACATATTTGTCCTAGTCTCTGGCTTGCAAGCATTTGATAAATGATGGCTACTACTATTTGATAAACATTACTACTATTTTAATATTATTATTATATGTAGTTTTTCAAATTAGTCTGGACCAATGATTTAGCAGTGATAAATAAGTTTAGGGGCTGGGAAGGTGGCTCAGTGGTAGAGTGCTTGCCTTGCATGCTCAAGGCCCTGGGTTCGATTCCTCAGCACCACATAAGAAAAAAGCCGGAAGTGGCGCTGTGGCTCAAGTGGTAGAGCGCTAGCCTTGAGCTGAAGAGCTGAGGGACAGCGCCCAGGCCCAGAGTTCAGGCCCCACGACCGGACCCAAAAAAAAAAAAAAAAAAGAAATAAGTTTATATTTGTTGAGACTAACCATGTTTTCTGTATGTTTTTCTATGTTTTTCCACAGGAGAGAATAGAATACTCCAAAACTTTCAAGGGAAAATATTTTAATTTTCTGGGTTACTTTTTTTCTATTTACTGTGTTTGGAAAATTTTCATGGTACGTATGTTGCTTTTAACAGAGTTAGGTGATTACCCTGGAAATGGAAGAGATAAGATTTTGTTTTGTTGTTGTTTTTTGTTTTTTGTGTCAGTCCTAGAGCTTGAACTCAGGGCCAGAGTGCTGTCCTTGCACTATTATACCCAAGGCTAGCCCTCTACCACCTGAAGCACGGTTCCACTTCCAGCTCTTTTGGTAGTTAATTGTTGGTAAGATTTTCATGGCCTGTACTGCCCAGGCTGGCTTCAAACCAGGATCTTCAGATCTCAACCTCCTGAGTAGCTAGGATGACAAGATGAGCCACCGGTGACTGGATTTGATTGATACATTCATTGTGTTTGATTTGTGATCTTATTGAGTCAACAGTCAGTGTGGGCTTTTACATGTCCAGCCTCACACTTTTTCCCCTTTCCTCAATCCTTCTAGAAGACCTAGAAAAGAAAGTTCCATATTTCTTCGTAGAAGTCATTAGTGAGCCGTATATTATGAGGTGTATGAGTTCATTTCAGTTTTCTGTTTTCCATCTTACTGATAAAACGTGACTATAATCTCAGTTCCTACTTTCATACCAAAATAGAAGCACCTCATCCTTTTGTATAGTCCATGTACCTAAAAACTTAAATGTAATATAAACTCAAACATGTGTTTCTGTAGTTACATTTGTTTTCTGCGCTCATCTCTCTTATTCTTTTGTGGCTCTCCCTTAATCTTGTACTCTTTGGTTTTCTGTGCATTTTTATGTACATGTGTTTGTCTTTCCTTCTGACTCAGCTGTAGGTATTCATGGATTTCAATGCCGCCATGGAAAAGGCTGATTGTACTTTTAGTTTCATGACTTCCCTATTGGGGCTGGGTTTGAACAAAGAGGAGCTTGGTCAGCTTGTTTGTTAATTTTGATCATTGTGGATGAATGGGGGATTTTGAGTATAATAAACTGAAGTCAGTACCACTCAGATGACGCTGGGAAATCTTGTTTTATTCAGTGAGAAAGGTTGCATGAAGATCCTGTCTTTCAGTAACTTAGCTACTAAAATGATTTTTCTTGAAATGCAGCCTTTAGGAGAGCTGATCATGTTTAATTAACGCTTCATTGGAACAGAACTGCTTTAAAGTAAACAGCACTGATTTTAAAGTGTGCCATTTGGCTGGGCGCTGGTGGCTCACACCTGTAATCGTAGCTACTCAGGAGGCTGAGATCTGAGGATTATAGTCTGAAGCCAGCAGGAAAGTCTGTGAGATGCCTATCTCCAATTAACCACCAAAAAAATAGAAGTGGAGCTGTGGCTCAAAGTGGTAGAACACTAGCCTTGAGCAGAAAAGCTCAGGGATGGTGCCTAGACCCTGAGTTCAGGCCCCATGATCGACAAAAAAAAGTGCAATTTGGTTAAGCTCTGACATGGGCATATAGCCGTGTAACAGCCGTCATCAAGGTTCCGATTGAGAACAGCCACCCATCGCTTGCAGGTTTCCTTGTGCCTTCATGATGTCTGTCCTGAGGTAACAACTGATCTGCTACTTATAGGTAGTAGCCCTTTGTATAAATACAATCCTCTTTCCTCAGTGTGATCAGTGAAGTTTCTCTGTGTCATTGTGTATATCAATCATGTTTTCCTTTTCCACTGGTGACTAGTACTCTTTCCTGTGACTCTCCACTCCCCTAGGGTGGCTAGTCGTTTCCAGTGTAGGGTTGTTTGGTCTGCTCCAAATACAAATCTGTTTACACATAGTGTGTCGTTTCTTTTGGGGTCAACAATGTAAGGAAGGTGTAGTTAGCTTTTGAAGAAAGATCCCAACTCTTTTCCAGGGACCGCAGAGTTTACACTCCTGCTGGCAGGGTTTGAAGTGCCTGGCGGTCCCCATAGGCTTGTGGACACTCGGTGAGGTCAGTCCTCTTCATTTCACGTGTCCCAGTGGACTTGTATCAGGGAGTGCGGTGCGAAGTTTTTCTGTTTTTGTTTTTATGCCTGTCCTGACTTTCCTGCCTGGGCTGGCTTCAAACCTCAATCCTCAGATCTCAGCCTCCTGAGTAGCTAGGATTACAGGTGAGAGCCACCAGCACCAGCTGAATGCTACTGTTTTTTGGTTTTGTTGTTGTTAGTTTTTTTTTCGGTAGCTAAATAATATCCATCCCATTATATGGGTAATTTCATACTTTGTTTCTCCATTTACTACTTGATAAACATTGGGCTGTTTCTTTGTTCAAGCTATTATCAGTAATGCTGTATAAACAACCACTGGGGCATCCATTTTTCAAAGAATATGTTTTCATCTCTTACATATATGCCTAAAAGTAGAATTGCTGTGCCATATATTAACTATGATTAGGCTATTTTCCACAGTGGTGACACTAGTTCTCATTCCTGTCCACCACATGCCAACTTCTTCCCATACATGCTCACCAGTACTTGCTGTTATTTGCCTTGTGTTTGTTATTTAGTGGGTATGAAGTACTATCTCTACCATTCTTTTTTTTTTTCTTTTTTTTTTTTTTTGTGGGTGTGTCTAGGCCTTGAACTTGGGGCCTCGGCGCTGTCCCTGAGCTTTTTTTGCCCAAGGTTAGCATTCTACCACTTTATAACTCCACTTCCAGCTTTTTGGTTAATTGGACATAAAAGTCTCATAGACTTTCCCTGCTGGCTTCAAACTAGCTTCAAAGTACCTAGAATTACAGGCATGAGCCACCAGCACCAGCTTTCACTCATTTTTGCTATTGTTAATTCATGTCTTTTCTCCTTTTTAAAAAATCTTAATATAAGCCAGCCACCAGTGGCTCACTCCTGTAATCCTAGCTACTCGGGAGGCTGAAACCTGAGGATTGTAGTTCAAATCCAGCCAGGGCAGGAAAGTCTGTGAGACTCTTATCTCCAGTAAACCACTCAGAAAGCCAGAAGTGGCACTGTGGCTCAGGTGCTAGAGCTAGCCTTCAGAGCTGAGGGACTGCACCCAGGCCAAGTTCAAACTGTACAACTGACACACAAAAAAATCTTTATATATTTTATGTATTTCATCATTACAATCCTGGCTCTTTTTGTTCTTATGAGGAAAAAAAAAACCTAGAAATAGAGATTTAATTGCTTTTATTGAACTTTTCAAAGAATCAACTTTTGGTTTCTTTTTGTCTTATTTTTCTACTTCCTATTTTATAGATTTGTGCTCAGCTTTTTATTATTTACTCTTGTTTATTTTAGATTATATTTCTACTACTACAGAAACAAATTATTGATTGGAGGCCTCTTCTGATAAATGTGTTTTATAGCTACAAATTTTCTTGTTATAAGCCAAGCACTGGTGGTTCATGTAATTTTAGCTACCACTGAGGAGGCTGAGATCTGAGGGTCAAAGTTCAAAGCTGGCCTAAACAGAAAGTCCATGAGACTTCTCTCCAGCTAGCCAGCAAAGAAGCTAGACTAGAGCTACAGCTCAAGTGGTATTGTGCCAACTGTAAGCAAAAAAAGCCAAAGAGTTCAAGGCCTTGAATTCAGTCTCCAGAACTAGCACAATTAACTAATCTTTTTGTATACGCTAAACTGCTCATAAATTATAATTTGTTTCATTCATTTTAAAGATGCTTTTCTAATTCCTCTCAATTTCCTCTCTGATTCATAGATTACTTAAAAATACATTTTTAAAGAATTTAGGCTGGGATATAGCTCAGTGTCAAAGGACTTGCATAACAAGTGTAATATCCTGGGTTCAATCCCCAGTACCAAAACAAAAAAAGACAGTTAAAATACTGAGGATCTTCCAAATACTTTTTTTTTTTTTTTGCCACTAACTCGGCCTTGTACCTTCCCAGCTTCCTTGCTTAAAGCTGGCACTCTACCATTTGAGATGCCTCCAGCTTCTAATAGATCTTTAATTTACTTTCCTGTAGTCAAGGACCATATTTTATATGATTTAAATCTTTTGAATCTTATTGTGGCTCTGTTCTGGGGTATAGCTAGCCCTCAGCATAGGAAATGTTCTCTGTGCCCTTTAGTAGAATGTTTCTAATTTCATGTACTTCTAATATAATGTGTTCTCTTGCCATCTAGAATATTTTATAATTGTTAGGTCAAGTTGATAGTATTCCAGTCAATTTTTGCTTTATTTTGGAGCTTTATTGGCTAAACATTTTAAATCATGTGTCCTTTGTGGAAATGGTCTTTTTATCCGTATGAAATGATTCTTCTAAAATCTGGCAGTGTTTTTTACTCTAAAAATCTTCATTTAATGTTAATGAAAGCTTTCCACCATTTTTGATTAGCATTAACATAATGTATCTTTCAGCCCATTTGTATTTTCATATTTAAGTGTACTGTACATAACATGTACAGTAGTTGGGGCTTGCCTTTTTCTTTATCAGCTCTGACAGTCTGCCATTTCACTGAGTTGTTTAGGCCAGGGATTAGCAATCTATAGTCCCCAGGCAGAACCCATAGCCAAGCCCATTCATTTCTGTATTATCTGTGACTACTGTCACACTACAGCAGCTGAGTTTGCTGTCCCAGGACTTAGACTATTTGCATTTAATGTGATTATTGGTATTGTTAGATTTAAAACTACCATGTAGCTCTTTGGTTTCTAATTGACCCATCTTTCTTTCCCTTTTTTTTGCTGCCAATACTGAGGCTTGAACTGAGGGCCCAGGTGCTGTCCTTTTGCTCAAGATTGGCACTCTACCACTTGAGCCACAGCTCTACTTTTGGCTGGCTTCAAAGTACAACCCTCAGATCTTAGCCTCCTGAGTGGCTAGCATTATAAGGCATGGCCTTTCTTTCCCTTTTTTTTTTTTTTAATTGCTATGTCTTTGCTCATAGAACATTGAGAAAATAACCTTGGAATTTTTCTATAATCTTTCTCTGACTCCATCTGCGAGAATGTAAGCTTTACAGCATCCAGAAAATTAAGAGTTAAATGTCCCTTTGACTCTTGACAGGAAACAGGTTGGGATAGAGACTTTTTCATTTGCTACTCATGTCATAGAGCAAATGTAGAGTTTCATTTTCACAATATTGGCCTTAATGTATATTAAGATTTGTTAGGATTATTAATTCATCATTTCAAATAACTTTGAAATAGTGATTATCAAGTTGTTCTAATGGTGAGGTCTGGGTCTCCACAGGCAACCATCAATATCGTTTTTGATCGAGTCGGGAAAACTGACCCTGTCACAAGAGGCATTGAAATCACTGTGAATTACCTGGGAATCCAATTTGATGTGAGAATTATGTCAAGATCCTGGTTTGTTCTACTTCTTTCTGTTTTATCTGTTGTAACTGACATGAAGTTTTTTCTTTTCTTTCTTTTTCTGCCAGTACTGGGGCTTGAACTCAGGGTGTGGGCACTGTCCCTTAGCTCCTTTGCTCAAGGCTGGCACTCTACTGCTTGGGCCACAGCTCTACTTCTGGCTTTTTGGTAGCTAATGGGATATAAGTCTCTTACTTATCTGCCCAGGCTGACTTTGAACTGGGATCACAGCCTCCTGAGTAGCAAGAACAACAGGCAGGAGCCACCAGTGCCCAGCCACAAGTATGCTTTTGAATTAAGCACAGGGTCCCCAAACTGCTTAAGAGTAAAGGTATTGTGGGATTCCAATGAATTTGGCTGTTTCTAGAATTTACCTATGTTATTTTTTTTAATTCCTTAAACTTATATGATCAGAGAATTCATTCATAGATACTAAAGATAACCCATCCAGTCTTGAGCTCATTTCCTAGTAATTCCTTTTCTTTACATAACAGCAAGGCTATGTCATTAGCTGGGTTGTTGGTATTTTTTTTTTCATGATATATTATACTTGCTTCTGTCATTATTTGACTTGGTCTTCTAGTGGAGATAGCCACTGTAGTCCTCCTGCAGATGTTTCACGTTCCCCTCATTCTCTTCCCTCCCTTAAAAGGGAAAACCAGAGCTGAGTGCCAGTGGCTCACATCTACGAGGTTAATCTATTCAAGAAGCAGAAATCTGGGGGATCACAGTTCCAAGCCAACCTGGGCAGAAAAGTCCATGAGACTCCATCTCTAAAATAACCAGCAACCAAGGAATCAAGATTGCAGAGTAGTAATGTATTAACCCAAACTCCCTCTGATCAAACAGAGGACTGAGGCCTCTTAGCACCAACCTGCACTTAAAATGACCACACCAAACAAACTAGAAATAATCAGTGGCACCAACCAGGGCGATTCAAACATCTAAAAGGGGAAAACAGAAACCAAAGCAGGCACCCAGTGCCCCAGGCTCCAGGCAGAGAGCCATTCCGACTTTCTTTTTTGTCTTTTCCTCTTCCCCTCCATTTTTTCCTTGCTACAATGTCACCAGCATACACCACCACCACACTTGGGATCCAGAAGCTGAATCTGGCAGTCGGAGGAGGCAGCAAAGCAGCCTGCTCCAGGATTGCCATGGTCAGACAGAGCCACTCCACGGAAAAACGGCAGTAGCCCAGCAGGGCCTCCAACCCCTGGCGTAGTCTCAACGGGGCCTCTAACACCCAGAAGGGTCACGGCGGGTCTCAATCCCTGGAAAGGGCTTCAGTGCAATGTTTGACACTGGGGAATGGACACGGTAGGGCCTCTGAAAGCTTGGCGTGCATTCCCGAGGTGGATGCTGCCAGCACCCAGCTGGGGTCTGCCCCAAGCCCAGCCCTGCCCCTGTGTCTCTGCGAAGGACATCACTGGTGCCACAGCCCTGGGAGTCTGCGCCCAGCTAGACCAGAAGTGGTCTCACCCTCTGCCAGTGTCGAAGGTTGTTCCCAGACAGCACCAAAAGCCGCCAAGGCATCCCTGTGTGGGATACCCAGCCATAGTGCCAGGGGTCCATACCTACTAACCCCTAACACCCTATCCATGTTGTGTGCACAGGACGCCATCACTCACAGCATCGAGGGCTGCGCCCACCCTACCTGAACATCCTTGCGCTGGATGCTGCCACAGCCCACAGCACAGTGGTTTGCATCTTAACTGGGCACAAAAGCCTTCTGTGTACCTCAGCATATGACACCCTTGGACTCCGTGCCACAGGCAGCACTCAGCTGGGCCCAAAGCCTGTCCTTGCCTATCCAGGGAACACCAGCAGCACAACTCCCAAAGAAAACCACAGCTCCTTACCACTTAACCTAATTCCTCCCCATTTTTTTTTTTTTTTTTGGTGGTACCAGTCCTGGGCTTGAACTCAGGTCTTAAGGGTGGGAATATCCCAAGGTTTTCTTTTTTTGCTGAAGGCTAGCACTCCATCACTTGAGTCACAATTCTGTTTCCAGCTTTTTGGTAGGTAGTTGGAGATAAGAGTCTCCACTTTGGACTTTGAACCATATTCCTCAGATCTCAGCTTCCTGAGCGGCTAGGATTACAGGCATGAGCCACTGGCACATGGCCCTAATACCTAATCTTAATGGCTATATAAACCCTGAACACAGATGGATAAATCACAGTGAAAAGTCACAAAATTCACTAACATGCCACTCAAGAAACAGCAACTCAAGCCTGGGCACTGATGGCTCATTCCTGTAATCCTAGCTACTCAGAGGCTGAAATATGAAGATTACTGTTCAAAGCCAGCCCAAGCAGAGAATCCCCATGAAACTCATTAATTCATGAATCTCCAGTTAACTCAACTGGAAGTAGAACTGTGGCTCAAAGTGATAGAGTGCTAGCCTTGAGCAAATGAGCTCAAGGGCAGCACCCAGGCCTTCAGTTCAAGCCAACTGACAAAAAACTCAAGAGGAAGACTCTAATGGGAGTGAAAGAGAAGAGAGGAAGAACAAAAGAACCACTAAAGCAACAATGAGAGGATTGGATAACAAAAGGGCAGCACCACAAACAAGAATCGCGGGAAGAAAGGATAAAGAAAATGTAGGACATCCAAGATGACATCAAGAATACAGAAACCACCCACCTCAACGAAGGAAATGAAAGATGAAATTAATACCATGAGAACTGATCAACAAAAAGCTGGGAAGCAGCCGGGCGCTGGTGGCTCACACCTGTAATCCTAGCTACTCAGGAGGCTGAGATCTGAGGATCACGGTTCAAAGCCAGCCCGGGCAGGAGAGACCATGAGACTCCTATCTCCAATAAACCACCAGAAAACCGGAAGTGGCGCTGTAGCTCAAGTGGTAGAGTGCTCGCCTTGAGCTGAAGAGCTGAGGGACAGCGCCCAGGCCCAGAGTTCAAGCCCCACGACTGACAAAAAAAAAAAGCTGGGAAGCATGGAAGGCTCTGGGTATAAGGAGTTGAGGTTAAAGCAGAGGAATGAGAAAAAAAATCAAAGGCATGGAAAAAAAAAACTGCAAACATGCCAAAGGGACATTCAAAAATTGGCAGATTCAACCAAAAGATCAAATCTATGCATAATAATAACAGAAAACTTCCCCAGTCTCAAGAGAGAGAATCTCACCCACCCGACAGGCATATGGAACTTCTAGCAGACAGGATCTGAGAAAAAATACTTACGCACATCCTTGTAACAAACAAAGAATTCATTTTAAAATGCAGCAAAATCAAAGAGGGAACTTGATTACAATGGAAAGATTAGGATTACTGCAGATTTTGCTACAGAAACAAGGCAATGAGAGCCTGGAGTGATAGTTTTCAAGCTCTGAACAGTTGCCAAGCAAACCCGTATACCTGTGAAGTTGATATTCACAATTGATGGTGAAACTAGAACCTCAAAATTTTTCCATGAAATTAACATTGAAGAACCAATTCCAAACTCATGAGTTTGGGGCTCCAATATAAAGACAACTATATACCCATCTTTCTGATGAACACATGCCAAGCTCTTCAATAAAACACTAGCCAGCAGAATTCACCAAGTAATCTTTAAAAAAAAAAAAAGCATTATGACCAAGTGGGTTTTATCCCAGCGATACAAGGCTGGTTTGACATATGTAAATCAAGAGTAATACATCATATAGCCAAAGGCAAGAACTACCTGTTCATCCCAATAGATGCAGAAAAGCCTTTGACAGAATCTAGCATGAAAGACCTCATCGACAGACCTGAAACTTTGAAACACTGGAACTTAAAGGCATAGGCAGAAACTGAAAAAGAGTCCCTGGGGCACAGCAGTTAGGAGAGAGACTTGACAAATGGGATTACATCAGAATAAAAAGTTCTGCACAAAGCATAATTACTAAACTAGAAAGACAGCTGACAGACTGGGAGAAGATCTTTACCAGCAATACATCAGACAAAGGCCTACTATCCAAAGTATAGAAGGAGGTCAAGAAACTAACCCCTCCTAAAGCTAATAAACCAATCACTAAATGGGCAAAGGAACTAAGGCTTCTCAGAAGAGGTAAGAATGCCAAAAAAAAAAAAAAAATAAAGAAATGCTCATCCCTGGCCATAAAGGAAATGTAAATCAAGACAACTGAGATTCCATCTCGCTCCAGTTAGATTGGCCAACATCATAAATTCAAACAACAAATGTTGGCAGGGATGTGGGGAGAAGGAAGCCTACCGCTAGTGGGATTGTAAACTACAGTACAGCCACTCTGGAGGGTCCTCAAAAAACAAAACAATCTATATGACCCAGCCATACAACTCCTGGGCATCTATCTACCCAGAGCATCACAAGCCAGGATAACATGGAGACATTTGCCTATCCGTGTCCATTGCTGCACTATTCACAATAGCCAAGTTGTGGAAACAACTTATCTACAAAAGATTAGTGGATCCAAAAAACTGGCAATTATACACAGTGGAATTTTACACAACCACTGGAAATGCAGGGAAATGGGTAAACCTAGAACAAAGATGTTGAGGGAGGTAAGCCAAGAGACAAACAGCACATTTTCTATTATATGCAGAAGCTAGACACCAGGACATGATAAATTATACAGAACTCTAGGCAGACCCACAGTGAAACCAACCTCTTAGGGGAGGAACACAAAGGTGCAATGCCTATGAGCCTCTGATCATATAATGCTTACCAAACTCCAGGAAATGTGTTTCCAGAACTATTATTTTTTTTCTTGCTTTTTTTTTTTTTGTCAGTTTTGGGGCTTGAACTCTGGCCCTCAGCTCTTCAGCTCAAGGCAAGCGCTCTACCACTTGAGCCACAACGCCATTTCCAGTTAATTGGAGATGAGTCGCACAGACTTTTCTGCCCGGGTAGCTTTGAACTGTGATCCTCAGATCTCAGCCTCCTGAATAGCCAGGATTACAGACATAAGCGACCAGCGCCGGTTGGGTTTTTTTTATTTTTGTCTTACTCATTTATCTGTCTATGGGAGGGTAATGGGGACCCAAAATGGAGAGACAAAGAGTGAACAAATGCAGCCGTGGTACACACTGGACACTGTTGAAAATGAACTCTACTTGTGGGTGGGGGTGGCAGGGGAAACTTAGGAGACAACAAAGGAAGGGTGACATTGTTCAGAAAGAAATGTACCCTTAGCCGGGCGCTGGTGGCTCACGCCTGTAATCCTAGCTACTCAGGAGGCTGAGATCTGAGGATCGCGGTTCAAAGCCAGCCCGGGCAGGAGAGACCGTGAGACTCTTATCTCCAATAAACCACCAGAAAACCGGAAGTGGCACTGTAGCTCAAGTGGTAGAGTGCTCGCCTTGAGCTGAAGAGCTGAGGGATAGCGCCCAGGCCCAGAGTTCAAGCCCCACGACCGACAAAAAAAAAAAAAGAAAGAAATGTACCCTTGGCTGGAAATGTGGCTCAGTGGTAGAGTGCTTGTCTAGCATGCATGAAGCCCCGGGTTGGATTCCTCAGAACCACATAAACAGAAAAAGCCAGAAGTGGCACAGTGGTTCAAATGGCAGGGCACTTGCCTTAAGTACAGGGAGGGTCAGGAACAGAGCCCAGGCCAGGCTCTAGGACCTGCAAAAAAGAAAAAGAACGAACTCTTTACCTGACTTATGTAACTGGTAACCACTCAGTACATCACTTTAATAATAATAATTTAAAATTTGAATGATAAAAACAATAAGCCAAGCACTGGTGGCTCACGCCTATAACCTGAGCTACTCAGGAAGCTGATATCCGAGGATTGCAATTCAAAGCAAGCCTGAGTAGGAAAGGTGGCTCAGTGGTAGAGCACTTGCCTTGCATGCCTGAGGCCCTGGGTTCGATTCCTCAACACCACATAAGCAAAAAGAAAAAAGCTGAAAGTGGTGCTATGGCTCAAGTGGTAGAGCGCTAGCCTTGAGCTGAAGAGCTGAGGGACAGCGCCCAGGCCCAGAGTTCAGGCCCCACGACCGGACCAAAAAAAAAAAAAAAGTCCATAAGACTCTTCAATTAACCACCAGAAAACAGGAAGTGGTACTGTGGCTCAAGGACAGGGCCAAGGCCCCAAGTTCAAGCTCCAGGATCAACAAAAACAATAATAATAATCCGCAAAAGAGTAGGGCTGGAGGAATGACTCGAGAGTAGAATGTCGAGCAAGTTCAAGGCCCTGAGATCAAAGCCCAGATCAGCCCAAAGGAAAGAACAGAATCCAGCTCCCTCTCACAGATGCATAAATGAGCAGGCACGGGTTCGCTGTCCTGCCTTTGAGCAGGGAATTAACAGTTTCTTCTTGGTGTTCCGGCAGGTGAAGTTCTGGTCCCAGCACATTTCCTTCATTCTGGTTGGGATTATCATTGTCACGTCCATCAGAGGATTACTTATCACACTCACCAAGGTACCACCTCATTAGGATTCTTGCTTCTGAAATCTTAACAATCCTTAGTACTTTGAAGACATAGGAAAAAATTAATGTCCAGTTGCTGTGTAAATTATTGGAGATGTATGGCTTCCTACACCGATCACAGATAAGTATCAAAGGTCATGGATAAGAAACTTTTGTCCATTGATTTGTCAACATCATCTATAGTAGAACTTGGCACATAAGCCAGGTGCCGGTAGCTCATGCCTTGTGTAATCGTAGCTACTTAGGAGGCTGAGATCTGAGGATCTGAACCTGGTTCAAAACCAGCCTAGGAAGGAAAGTCCGTGAGACTATTATTTCCAGGTAACTACCAAAATGATGGAAATGGAGCTGTGGCTTAAAGTGGTAGAGCACTAGCCTTGAGCACACTCAGGGGCAGCACCCAGGCCCTGAATTCAAGCCCCAGGATCAGCACAAAATAAAAGAATCTTGGCAAATAGTCATTTAGCAAACAATAGTGCAGTTAGAAGAATTGTGAGACTCATCTGTAAATAAAATATGGAGCTGGATGCCAGTGGCCTCACACTTATAATCCTAGCTACTAAAGAAGTTGAGATCAGAGGATTCTGATTCGAAGCCAGCCCAGGCAGAAAAGTCCAATTAATCAGAAGATCTCTAACCAGCAAAATCCACTGAACTTCAATTAACTAGCCCAAAAAGACAGCCAAACTGGAGGCATAGCTCAAGTGCTAAAGCACCAGACATGGGCAAAAAAAGCCAACTAAGCCAGAGCTCAAGACCCTGAGTTCAAGAGGAAGGGAGCAGGGAGGAGAGAAGAGAAGAATATTTGGTTGTTTTCTGACCAACATACGAGGACTTCATGAAGGTGTAAGAATCTCACAGTCAGAGCATTGTTTGAATGAAAGAGGTGGAGGATTGGGACAGGAAGGGAATTAAGACATAAAACTGATTAGAAAGAGTTCAGGAGCCTTTTAACCATTACAAATGCCAGGAATGGCCTGGAGTTAGGTGTTCTAATGTTTGTAGTTACATTGTTATGGTCATCTGCACCAAAGAACTTCTGAATTTTAATAGTATAGGAATACCTTCTTATGCAATAATACTTTAAGCCAGCCTCTCAAGGAGGAAATTAACCTCAGTAGTCTATTTTAACTCGATTTTTTTTTTTTTTTTGGTCGGTCATGGGTCTTGAACTCTAGGCCTGGGTGCTGTCCCTGAGCACTCTTCAGCTCAAGGCTACCACACTTACCACCTGAGCCACAACACCACTTCCAGTTTTCTGGTGGTTTATTGGCGATAAGAGTCTCATGGAGTTGCCTACCCAGGCTAGCTTTGAACCTTGATCCTCAGAGCTGGACCTAAGTAGCTAGGATTACAGGCATGAGCCCCGGTGCCCGGCCTTAACTCGATTTTCCAATAGCTTTAACATCTAAATGGTCATAGACAGGGCTAGAGCATGGAAGAGATGCTTTTTTTTTTTTTTTCAAATTGGTGCCAGTGCTGGGGCTTGAACTCGGTGCCTGGGTGCTGTCCCTGAACTTTTTGGCTCAAAGCTATTTTCTACCACTTGATCCAATGCTCCACTTCCAGCTTTTTGGTGGTTAATTGGAGATGAGAGACTCATGAGTTTTCCTGCCCTAGCTTGCCTCTAACTTATGATCCTACATCTCAGCTCCTTGAGTAGCTTGGATTACAGACATGGGCTCCTGGTGCCCGTGAGAAGAGACACTTTCAATGGAAGATTAGCCATGTGAACTATTGCTTATGATATATGAATCTAGCAGTGCACTCTAAGTTGCTCTCTTCTTTCTTGACAGTTCTTTTATGCCATCTCTAGCAGCAAGTCCTCCAATGTCATCGTCCTGCTCTTAGCACAGATAATGGTAAGTTTATTGAACTTGCTTTATGTTTGCAACTATAAATATCACAATTTTTTTTCTTTTTCTTTGTGCCAGAACTCAGGGCCTGGCACTGTCCTTCAGCTTTTGTGCTCTGCCACTTGAGCCACACCTTCAGTTCTGGTCTTTTGGTTGGTTAATTGGAGATAAGAGTCTCATACTCAGGCTGGCTTTGAACCTTGATCCTCAGATCTCAGCCTTCTGAGTAGCTAGACTCACAGGCCTTTGCCACTGGAGGCCTCATCAATGTATGTTTCCTCGGGGCAGCCCCTTCCTATTCTCAAAGTCACTGGTGACATCTGCTTTGGCCTGCAGGGCATGTACTTCGTGTCCTCGGTGCTGCTCATCCGGATGAGCATGCCCCTGGAGTACCGCACCATCATCACCGAGGTCCTTGGAGAACTGCAGTTCAACTTCTACCACCGCTGGTTTGACGTGATCTTCCTGGTCAGCGCGCTCTCCAGCATGCTCTTCCTCTACCTAGCTCACAAGCAGGCGCCCGAGAAGCACATGGCACCGTGAAAGCCAGTGCTGTCAGAATTTGGGGGGAAAAGCAGAAAAACAATGGAGGCTGGGGCCTGATTTTTTTTTTAAAGCAAAATGCTCTGGAAGCCTATTCTTCCTCCAGTATCAGTCTTCCTCCTCGGATGATGCTGGGATCACCAGGGCATCAGCTGGGACCTGAGAGAGGAGGAAACTCAGGGCAGTCCTTGGTAGAGACAGCCGCTCGTGTGGATCAAGACCGGGGCCAGGTGCAGACAGCACACAGGGAGTGAAAGTACACTGGAACTCTAGAACAGGAAATGTGGCCACAAACGCCTGATGTTCTGTAAGTCTAGCTTCCTGCGCAGCAGGGTCTTGGCATTCCCTTGAGGTTGACTGTCATTAAAGTCTGACATTGTAACACTTTGGCTTGAGGTTGGCTTTATCAAGCATAGCTTGGTTTTCTGCTTCTGTGACCTAACATGAGTAGGTGGCTCTCTTCCCTGCCCACTGAAATCACCCTGAGCTTGTCTATTTTCTGAGGAAGGAATGATGGAAACTGAAATCAGTTCTACCAGAGACTTTGGGTATGACCTTTTAAGTTTTTGTTTGTTTGTCTGTGTGCCTCAGTACTGCTAGGGCTTGAACTCAGGGTTTGGGCGCTGACCCTTAGCTTCTTTTCTCTCAAAGCTGGTGCACTGGCACTTAAGACACGTCTCTCCTCTGCTTTTTAATTGGAGATGAGTCTCTTGGAGGACTAGGAATGTGGTTTAGTGGTAGAGTACCTAGCATGCGTGAAGCCCTGGGTTCCATTCCTCAGTACCACATAAACAGAAAAGCCAGGGGTAGTGCTGTGGCTCAGCTCAAGTGGTAGAGTGCTAGCCTTGAGCAAAAGAAGCCCAGGAACAGTGCCCAGGCCCTGAGTTCAAGCCCCAAAACTGGCAAAAAAAAAAGTCTCTTGCACGTTTCTTCCCAGGCTGGCTTTGAACTTAGATAGCAGCCTCTTGAGTAACCAGGATTACAGGCATGGGCCACTCATGCTAAGCTTGATTTTTCTTTTATATTAGTATAAAGTGCACGGGCCACGTGTCAGTGTTGATCTCTTATGGTTCCTTCCTATCCAGCCCTTTAGCTTTGGGATAAATTGACTATACTTCACTGGAATAAGACACTTTCCTATTCTTCAGCTGTAAAAGGAGTTGTTGGAAAGTTTTTTTTTTTTTTTTTTGGGTCCGGTCATGGGGCCTGAACTCTGGGCCTGGGCACTGTCCCTCAGCTCTTCAGCTCAAGGCTAGCGCTCTTTCACTTGAGCCACAGTGCCACTTCCGGCTTTTTTTTCCTGCTTATGTTGTGCTGAGGAATCGAACCCAGGGCCTCATGCATGCAAGGCAAGCGCTCTACCACTGAGCCACCTTCCCAGCCCTGTTGGAAAGTTTTTAGACTACTCAAATGCGATTTACGGAAATTGGATTTTATTCCCTAGAAATCTCTTTAGTACTAAGATGTTATTCCTGTATCATGTCCAGGATTCTAGAAAGCAAATGAAGATTAAAGCATAAAAATGTTATCCAGTAGCCTGGCATTGGTAGTTCATGCCTATCTCCTAGCAACACAGGAGGCTGAGATCTGAGACTTGCAGTTCAAAGCCAGCTCAGGCAGAAAGGTTTGTGAGCTTCTTATTTATCTTCAATTAACCAGCCAAAAGCTAGAAGCTGAGCTGTGGCTCAAGTAGTAGAGCACCATCCCTGAGTGAAAAACGAAGGCCCTTGAGTTCAAGCCACAGTACCAGCACCAAAAAACAGTTTCTCTAAAAGTATTAGTGAAGTTACACAAGCCAACCAGAAAACGTGAGCAGTTCAAAAGGAATTTTCATGGTATTTATTATGGCAATCTTAACACTGTTACAATTTCAATAGTACCATCTGCTAATACTTTAACATACAGATATAAATCATCTTTGATGCTGAAAGAATCTACAGAAGAAAGAAGTATCATCAAACGGAAATGTAAAGCCAAAGCTTGGAAGATTTCACATAAAAAGGATCTGGCTCCTGCCTTCAACCTTCCAAAGATGACCATAAATAAACCAGCCTGTCAGGAGAGGAAAGCACAAGGCAGCCACGCATGGTGGTTTCCAATGTTCTCTCATGGACAGCGAGCTGGTGGTGGCTCATGTCCTGAGAAAGCAGTTTCTAGGTATTTCACAGGAACCGTACCAGCCAAAGCCGTTGCTCATTCTCTTCACAGCTCTGTATCTTCAGACTGGGAAGACAAATGTGAGCCTGTGCTCTGGGCCTGCGCAGAAGAAAACAGGCTGTTAGGAGTGAGTGAGTGAGTGAGTGAGTGTGTGTGTGTGTGTGTGTGTGTGTGTGCTCAGAGCCTGAGTACTGTCCCTGAGTTTTTTTGCTCAAGGCTATCACTCTCCCACTTGAGCCACAGCTCCACTCTGTCTTTTGGTGGTTAATTGATGATAAGAGTCTCACAGACTCTCCTGCCTGGGCTTCTAACTGCAATCCTTAGATCTCAGTCTCCTGAGTAGCTGGGATTACAGGTGTGAGCTACCTACATCTGGCTTTAGTTTCATATTTGACCTCCAATAAAGAAGTTGTAGTTTGATTTCATTTCTTTTTTATACCAGTACTGGGGCATTACCTTATGATCTTGCTTGGCTCTTTCACTCAAGGCTGGCTGTCTACCATTTGAGCCACTCCCCTGATTTCAAGCCTTTATACTGGTTAATTGGAGATAAGAGTTTCACAGGTGTGTCTCCTCAGGCCAGCTTCCAAGTGAGATCCACAGATCTCAGCCTCCTGCGTAGTTAGGAATACAGACGTGAGCCACCAGTGCCCAACTTGAGAAGTAGTAGCTTTTTTGTTTTTAAAACAATAAGAAATACTTTGTGAAGCTGGGGGCTGGTGGCTCACGCCTGTAATCCTAGCTACTCAGGAGGCTGAGATCTGAGGATCACGGTTCAAAGCCAGCCCGGGCAGGAGAGACCGTGAGACTCCTATCTCCAATAAACCACCAGAAAACCGGAAGTGGCGCTGTAGCTCAAGTGGTAGAGCGCTCGCCTTGAGCTGAAGAGCTGAGGGACAGCGCCCAGGCCCAGAGTTCAAGCCCCACGACCGACAAAAAAAAAAAAAAAGAATACTTTGTGTTAAGCTTTCCAGAATACAAGGTAAGGACCATTTTGTGTATTCATTACATTACCTGTTCATACCACCAATCAGTATAAATTAATATAAAGGTAAGAAAGAGCATACTGAAACTTTTAGACTCTGGACATCGTTTCCTTTACGAACTTGGACCCCAAGTTTATATATGAAAAATTGGACAAAAATAAAACAGACTCACCAAAAAATTTATCTGGATTAGTAGCATGGATCAAATAATAGGATGCTGGCCTAGACATGACACCAAAAAATAAAAACGTATAATCCAATATATACAGGAAAACGCTTCATCTGTCCTCATAAGGCTATAATGCAGGCTGGGAAAGTGGTTCAGTGGTAGAGTGAGCGCTTGCCTTGCATGCATGAGGCCCTGGGTTCGATTCCTCAGCACTACATAAATAGAGCCGGAAGTGGTGCTGTGGCTCAAGTGGTAGAGCACTAGCCTTGAGCTAAAGAGCTGAGGGACAGCGCCCAGGCCGAGTTCAAGCCCCATGACTGACCAAAAAAAAAAAATTAAAAAAGGCTATAATGCCTGTCCTTAATAACCTCTAGTTTTTTTTCCCAAGGAGGCAGATACTGTTTTAGCATTTTAATCATCCAATATAATTCTGATAATAGTCCTCCGAATTATCCCTCTTTTCTAGGTAAGAAACTGATCAGTGTCACAACCAGAATTTGGAAACAGGAAGACTGACTCAGCTTCTTGTGGCGGTCTCACAGCATGTTATGAAAATAAGAAACTTGACCTTTACAAGGAACTGGTGGCTCCTGCCTGTTGTCCTAACTACTCAGGAGGCTGAGATCTGAGCATCAGATTGGAAGTCTGCCTGGTCAGGAAAGTCCATGAGAAAAGCCACAAGTGGAGGTGTTGGTCAAGTGGTATAGTGCCAGCCTTCAGCCAAAGGGCCATGCAAGATTAAAAGGCCCTGAGTTCAAGCCCCAGTACCAGTATCAAGAAAAGAAAAGAAAATGCCCTTAGACTACCTTTTCTCTATAATAATCTGATGTGTTGGTTATCTATATTCATTGTTTCCTAATATTTTAGAAAACCTGGTAGCCACAGGTATGTGCAACACACCGCCGGCGTGCTCTGCTCTGCTCTGCTCTAGACGACCAAAGGCCAGTGACGGCCACTCACTCGCTCTCTCGCCCCGCATAAGCCAGGCTCTGGCTCCGCCGGTAATTCCGCCTGGGCATCAGGCTGGGCATCCAGCGGGTCGGCCATGGAGGAGACGATAGGGATCTTCTTTGCTTGGAAGTAATTGTAGGCCTTCCGCGCACAGACCAGGAGTGTCACGTCCTTCCCACTGCTCTGGATCCTGTCCACCACCATCTCGTAGGGCGCATCCAGCACATTCTCCCCATCCACCTCCACGATGACATCGCCGTCCTCCAGCCCCGCCAGGGCCGCGGGGCCTCCTTCCTGTACCTAGGGGCAGAGGATCTGGGGTGTCACTTCCAAACAGAGGAAAGGCGTGTCTGACTAGCTCCCTTTCTGGTGGGGGAGAGGGAGTTCAGAATTTAATCCTTTTTTTGTGTGTCACACTGCCACTTCTGGCTTTTTGCTGCTTAATTGTGGAGGTAAGAGTCTCATGGACTTTGTTGGCCTGAGCTGGTTTGGAACCGTGATCCTCAGATCTGCCTCCTGTAGGACTACAGATGTGAGCCCCCAGCACAGGTTAAGAGTTCATTCTTGGGCTGGGAAGGAGGCTCAGTGGTAGAGTGCTTGCCCAGCATGCATGAAGCCCTGGATTCCATTCCTCAGTACCAAATACACAGAAAAAGCTGGAAGTGGTGCTGTGGCTCTAGTGGTAGAGTGCTAGCCTTGAGTGAGCAAAAGGCCTTGGCCCTGAGTTCAAGCCCCAGGACTGGCAAAAAAAAAAAAAAGTTAATTTTCAACTATTCTTGCTGAGGCACAGAGGTTAAGGACTCTCGAATGCTTTTCTACTTCTGAGAGCGCCAACTGCCATGATCACATGAACCATGTCGCCGGCTGGCTGCATGTCACGCTCTGTCTTCAGATCTCGGATCCCCTTTCGGAATCCCAAACTGAGCACTACAGGAATGACCCATCTTCTAGCCACCTGCCAGGTAGAGGCATTAGGCCAAACACAACAAGTAAACAACCCTCGATCAGGGGTGATTGTCACTGAGTTCAATCTGAAAGCCTCAGAGGGACAACTTGGGGAAGAAAAGGCTTGGTCTTCCCACACCCTGACTGGAAGTGTATAGGACTGAGCATGTCTGGACCCCGTGACCTGGGCCTCCAGTGTGACCTTTCTATTAAGCAGTCAACGGGCGAGGGAGTTGAGCCTCTCCTAGCTGGGCTGCAGGAGCCAGATGAACGTACCTCTTTGATGAAGGAGCCGGGCACACCCTGAATCGCATTTAAGTGAAAGCCATAGCCATTGTCCCCCTTCACCAGCCTGCAGAGTCTCGGCTTAGGATCTTCTTCCTCTGTCATTTCTGGACTTGACTCGTTCAGAGGAGCAGAGAGTGGAGCTGGACTTAACACATTAGGAGGAGCAGAGGGCGGAGCCGGGGGCTGAGTGACGGAGCCATTGGGCAGTTCTTGACTTTTGTAGTAGAGAAACGGAGAAAATCGAGCCTTTTGAACATCAAAGGGGACAACAGAACACTCATGAAAGGTGCTGCTTGAATAGGCAGGGTGGCATATGTGTTCCACACACCCACATATGTCTGGTGGCAGGCTGTCAAATTTCTCTCCTACCCCAACCAGGAATAAGAGATAGAGGCTGGTTAGAGGGCTCTGTATGCATGAAGTAAGCTAGTAAAGAACTCTGGGCAGGGCTGGGAAGGTGGCTTAGTGGTAGAGTGCTTGCCTAGCATGCATGAAGCCTTGCGTTCCATTCCTTAATACCACACAAAAAAAGCTGGAAGTGGTGCTGTGGCTCAAGTGGTAGAGCACTAGCCTTGAGCAGAGAGAGGCTCAGGGACAAAGCAGCCCAGGCCCTGAGTTCAAGCCCCAGGACTGGCAAAAAAAATTCTGGGGAGTGGAGGCATGTAAGTACCAGTCTTGAACAAAAAGAGCAAAGTGACAGCATGAGCCCCCAAGTTCAAGCCCCAGTACAAACACACATACAAAAATTGAATCCTTGGCAGGCATCGCTGGCTCACGCCTGTAATCCTAGCTACTCAGGAGGCTGAGATCTGAGGATCACGGTTCAAAGCCAGCCCAGGCAGGAAAGTCTGTGAGACTCTTATCTCTAATAAACCACTAGAAAACCGGAAGTGCTGTGGCTCAAGCAGTAGAGTGCTCGCCTTGAGCTGAAGAGCACAGGGACAGCGCCCAGGCCCAGAGTCCAAGCCCCACAACCGACAAAAAAAAAAAAAAAAAAAATGAATCCTTTCAAAAATCGCACTCACCAGTCTGAGGATTTAAAACTCAGTAACCACTTAGCATTCTCTTATGAGTATCCCTGTGAGCCTCAGCTCAGCCTTCATGCCTTGCATTCCGACCCCTTCCTATTTGGAGAACTAAGTAAGAACAGCCTGAAGTCTGAGGGCATAACTAGCTGGGCCCGCCGGCGCTGTAGGACTTCTTGTGCTGCTTACCAGTCTGTACATGCTGTCTGTGTCCTTGTCCACCACCAGCAGTGAGGTCTGCTCGCCGCCCTTTCTAATCATCTCCACCACACTATCATGATCCAAGCCTTCCACACACTGACCATTCACCGCCACCACCAGGTCATTCTTCTTCAAGCCAGCCGCCTCTGCTGGACTTCCAGAATCTATGTCCTTGATGATCTGACCTACCCTCCCCCCACACACAGACAAAAAAAATCAGAAAAGACCCTAAGCAAATAAGCGGGGATCTCTGCTGGAGTCCAGAGGAACTCTGGTGAAGAAAATAGAAAAGGCATGCTGAATACAAAGTTGTGAGCTAGTGGCTCACACCTGCAATCCCAGCTACTCAGGAGGCTAAGATCTGAGGATCACAATTTGAAGCTAGCCCAGGCGGGAAAGTCCATGAGCTTTATCTCTGATTAACCATCAAAAAGCTAGAAGTAGAGCTGTGATTCAGGTGGTAGAGTACTAGCCTCTAGCAAAAAAAGCTGATGACACTGTGAGGCCCTGAGTTCAAGCCCCAGGACCAGCACAAAGAAATGCAAAGAACAACCTTGGCTTCCAGTGCTGCATGTGGCATAGAAGCGGAGTTGTGTGTGCTTCCTGGTTCTGTGTGGTGGTTCTAGTGTGCATGGGGGGCGGGGGGGGGGGGCTGGAGTCCACAGGGCCCTCTCACATCTCACCTTTGTGTTCAGGGCCTGCTCTCAGGTAGAAGCCGTAGCCGTTGCTCCCTCTCTTCATCTCCACCACACGCGGCTGCTGGGGCAGCAGCTCCAGGCTGGCGGCATCCCTGTGGAATGGCATCTTCTGTTCACTGTGGCGCTTGTATGTGTCCTGGTCCACAAGCAAGAAGGCGATGCGGCCTCCGGCCTTCTTCACCTACAACACACACATAAATAGATGAGAAGCCACCCAGACCCCACAGACGTGGCTGGGGTGTCTCTTGCCTCAGTCCCAGGAAGCAGGGGCTGCATGGCTGAGCTGAACTGGTCATTTATCTTCACTTCTCTATGGTTGGTTTTCCTTTTTTCATGTGTGTGCCCACAGTGGGACTTGAACTCGTGGCCTCATCTTCTTGCTTGACTTTTTACCCTCGAGGTTAGAGCTCCACCATGTGAGCCACAGCTCCACTTCTGGCATTTTACTGGTTCATTTTGAGATAAGACTCTCACAGACTTTCCCACACAGGCTAGCTTTGAACTGTGATCCTCAGGGGCTGGGAAGGTGGCTCAGTGGTAGAGCGCTTGCCTTGCATGCATGAGGCCCTGGGTTCGATTCCTCAGCACCACATAAGCAAAAAGAAAAAAGGCGAAAGTGGCACTGTGGCTCAAGTGGTAGAGCGCTAGCCTTGAGCTGAATAGCTGAGGGACAGTGCCCAGGCCCAGAGTTCAGGCCCCAGGACCGGACCCCCCGCCAAAGAAGTGGAACTGTGATCCTCAGATCTCAGCCTCCTGAGTAGCTAGGATGACCAGTGTGAACCAGCAACTGTGACAGCAGCAAATGCTGCCAGCCGAGCTCTCTTAATATGAAGAACCAGCTCATGAGACTCATCTTCAGTCCATCCCATGCCCTGCCCACCAGTTCTATGACTTGAGCAGCAAGGGCAGGCACAGCACCCCTAGGGTCTGCTTACCTTCTCCACCACTTCCTCATGACTGGCCTTCTCTACATTCTCTCCGTTCACTTCGATCAGGTAGTCATTGGCCAGGACCCCTGCTTTCATAGCCACGCCGTGAGGGGTGATGTCGGTCATGCAGATCCCCGCTTTGCCTGGGAGAGAGCCGAGCGTGAAGGCTGTGTCATGGAAGAGCCTGCAAGTCCACTCACAAAGGCTTTTCCCCCCACAGGGTGAAATTAGAATTTCCCATTTTAGAGCTAACTCAGCCCCACAGCTGCTGTCTATCATCAAAAGATAGTGAGTGCTTAGCATGCGTATCTCTACTGAGCACTGTTTCCAGAGCTATGTATTCTAAATCGGCACATAATGGGGTCCATCGATGTCCATCGCTGTCCCCTGGCACCTCGCCCTCCCCATCAGCCACAGCAAGTGTCCTGCTTTCATGTTCATACACACACCGAATGTGATGCTGTGTCCACCCACTGTGCCCTCCCCTTTCCCACCCTCCTCCCACTAACCCCTCACATCCAAGAGATGTCTCCCAGCTACTCAGGAGGCTGAGATCTGAGGATCGAGGTGTGAAGCCAGCCCAGGCAGAAAAGTCCATGGAGTCCATGAGAATCTTGTCTCCAATGAACTACTCAGAAAAAGTCAGAAGTGGTGCTGTGGCTCAAGTGGTAGAGTGCTAGCCTTGAACATAGGCTCAGGGACAGTGCCGAAGCCTGGATGGAGTTCAAGCCCCAGGACACAGGGGCAAGGGAGAGGCATGCCTGAGTACAGGTAGTATAGCTTAGGTGTTAATGAAATGCTGGTAGTGCTTTCAACATACTTATATTTCAGTCTACTCTTATTCCTTACTAAGAGATCTGAGGTTCAAATCCAGCCTGGGCAGAAAAATTCATGAGACTTATCTCCAATTAACCAGCAAAATGTCAGAAATGGAGCTGTGGCTTGAGTGGTAGAGTACCAGCCTTAAACAAAAAAGCCAAGCAAGGGGCTAGGAAGGTGGCTCAGTGGTAGAGCACTTGCCTTGCATGCCTGAGGCCCTGGGTTCAATTCCTCAGCACCACATAAGCAAAAAGAAAAAAAAAGCCGGAAGTGGTGCTTTGGCTCAAGTGGTAGAGCGCTAGCCTTGAGCTGAAGAGCTGAGGGACAGCGTCCAGGCCCAGAGTTCAGGCCCCACAGCCGGACCCCTCCCCGCCCCCAAAAAAAGCCAAGCAAAAGATAAAGGTCCTGAGTTCATGTCCCAGTACTGGCCAAAAACAAAGGTAGCTTTTATGAAGAATCTCATTTCTATTGCTTCCCTTTCACTTCAAAGGAGCTAGAAAAGTATAAACAGCCAAACACTGGTGTCTCACGCCTGTGATCCTAGTTACTCAGGAGACAGAGCTGAGGATCACCATTCAAAGCCAGCCAGGACAGTAAAATCTATGAGATGGGACTCATCGCCCAATAACCAGCAAAGAGCTGGAAACAGAGCTGTGGCACAAGGGGGAGAGGACCAGCTTTGAATGAAAAAAACGTAAAGGACAGCGCCTAGGCCTGAGTTAAGCCGCAGCACTGGCACAGACAAATAAGTAATCATCAGCTCTGTCACTCTTGCCTTCAAAGGGTCAGCCTGAAAGCACCAGCAGACAAGAGTGCCCAGCATGCCTTGCAGCTTTCCAGCATCCAGATCCCTCAGTCCATGACTTTACATAACTGTGCAGGAGGAGGGCGACTGTGAGGCGTCTGCTAGTGGAGAAGACAGGTCATTGGCCTTCTGCCAGGCGGCTGGCCATGCCCGGCCCTCACTCACCTTGCAGCGTTTTCAGAGAGAAGCCATAGCTGTTTCCATCCTTCACCAGGTAGCAGAGCCGTGGCCTCGTCCAAGTCTGTGCCCCTCCATTGATCACCGCGGCCGTTTTCCTGCTGTTCGAATCCAGCTCCTTCTGGCTGCTGCTCAACTCTCTCAGGTCCACCTGTTTTTTGATGGCTTTTTCATAGGAATCCCCATCCAGAACAAGTAAAGTCACTGAATTCCCACTCTTTCGGACAAGGTCCACAACCTAGGAGGCAAGAGAAATTTTCCCAAAGGAATTTTTTTCTTTTTCTTTTTTTCTTTTTTTTTTGTGCCAGAACTGGGATTTGAACTCAGGGCCCAGGCTCTGCCCTTTAGCTTTTTTTGTTCAAGACTGGCTCTCTACCCCTTGAGACACATCTCATGTTCTGGCTTTTTGCTGGTTAATTGGAAATAAGGGTCTCAAGGACATTGATGCCTAGGCTGGACTCAAACTGCCATCCTCAGATCTCAGCCTCCTGAGTAGCTAGGATTACAGGCGTGAGCCCCTGGTGCCTGCTCTCTATCTGGTACTGGAGGCCCTGGTGATCTTACTCCCTGTTCACAAGCAGATGGGGCTCCAGCCACCTCCACCACAGCAATCCAGGGGAGATGAGGCTGGGGCCCTGGCACTGTTAGGAAGCCATCACAAAACAGCAACAAACTAGAGGTGATTGTGGGCCTTGGCCCTGCGGGTCTTCCCAGGTCTCAGAAGAGATGCGGCATGGTGCCTTGAAAAGGGAATCTGGCAGAACTGCAGCTAATGCCAGACCTTTGCAAATCTCCACTACATTAACCTATTAGCAAGGTAATTTAGCTGAGCGAATGTACTAGATACCTCGGGAGGTGACGGGTTAACAAGATCGTTAATAAAGGCCAGGCGCTGATGTGGCTCACACCTGTTATCCTAGCTACTCAGGAAGCTGAGATCTGAGGATTCTGATTCAAAGCCATCCTGGGCAGACGAATCCAAAGACTCTTCTCTCCAATTCACCAGAGCTGTGACAGAGCACATTCTTTTTTTTTTGTTGTTTTCAATTTTTTTTTTATTGTGAAAATACTGTACAGAGGGGTTACAATTACATGGGCAAGATAATGAGTACATTTCTTCTCAAGCATTGTAGCCTCCTCCTTTGTTTCCCCTTCCCATCCTCCCCCCCCCCCACCCTTCTCAGACCACATTGTTAAGTAAAAGAAGCTAAGCAAGAGTAGGAGGCCTTGAGTTTAAACCCCAGTCCTGGCATGCACACACAAATAAATAAATAAACCTACATATATATACATATATATATAGCCTAGCAGAGTTTCTGGCCTATAACAATAGATAATGTATATTAGACCCAACACAATTAAAATATAATCTCAGTTAACTATAGGGGACCTGACTGGCCAACATAAAGTATAATGGCATAAACTTGCTGGTGGCAGCCAAGAAAGAGTCAAGTTCCCCTGACCCCACCTCAACATCATCAGGGGAGACATGAAGGCTGAACGGACGCCAGAGAGCACAGAGGCCCCTCACCTGCACATGCTCTTCCTTGTCAACGAAGACGCCATTCACCCTGAGGACCCTGTCCCCATCCAGGAGCCCAGCCTCCTCTGCGGGACTCCCCTGCTCCACCACCCGGACCAGGTGACCATCAGTGTCCTTCTCAATTCGTAGGAAGAAGCCATAACTTTGTCCTTCTTGCTTGGACAGCTTACATTCTCGAGGGTTGAAAGTGGTAGCCATTTCTGTGGGGGGGAAATCAAGGAGAAATCTGTGGGAAAGAAAATGGTGCTGGGTTGGGCTGGGAAGGTGGCTCAGTGGCAGAATGCTTGCCTTGCATGCATGAGGCCCTGGGTTCAATTCCTCAGCACCACATAAGCAGAAAAAGCTGGAAGTGGCGCTGTGGCTCAAGTGGTAGAGTGCTAGCCTTGAGCTGAGGGACAGCACCCAGGCCCACAGTTCAGGCCCCATGTCCAGAAAAAAAAAAAAAAAAAAAGAGGTTTTGTGTGTGTGTGTGTATGTGTGTGTGTGTCCTAAGCTTTCCTTTGGTCAAGGCTAATCCTCTACCACTTGAGCCACAGCTCCACTTCTGGCTCCTTTTCGTAGTTTATGGGAGATCGGATTTGGTAGTCTATGGGAGATAAGAGTGTCACGGACTTTCCTGTGCGGGCTGTCTTTGAACCGCGATCCTCAGATCTCAGCCTCCTGAGTAGCTAGGATGACAGGCGTGAGCCACCAGCGCCTGGCTAGTGGAGTAATTTTTATTTATTTTTTTTTTGGTTGTCGTGGGGTCTGAACTCTGGGCCTAGACATTGTTCCTCAGCTCTTCAGCTCAAGGCTAGCACTCTACCACTTAAGCCCCAGCGCCACTTCCAGCTTTTTCTGCTTATGTGGTGTTGAAGAATAGAACCCAGGGCCTCATGCATGTGAGGCAAGCACTTTACCACTGAGCCACCTGCCCAGCCCAATCGTGGAGTAATATTTTTAGTCCTCTCTCACCGATGAGGTTGCTCTTCCAGTTCCCATCCCCCACCCGGCAGTGCAGCAGCTCTGAGGGCTGGGAGCCTCTGCCCAGGGCCTGTCATAATTTCTAAATCTATTTCTGTAAGGATGACCTTCTCCTCTCAGCTTCAAGCCCGCCTATTTGGATACTGGACACAGATGCTTTGATTTCAGTTTCTCTAACCAGTCTTCTTCATTCCTTGTCCCCAAAGAAATTAAGTCCAAGCTGAGTGATTGGTTCAAACATGCAATCCTGATATAAACTGATATAAATGGTAAAGTTCAGGAGGATCGTGGTTCTAGGACAGCCTGGGCAAAAAGTTTGTCTGACAGATCCCATCTCAACCAATAAAAAAGCTAGATGTGCCAGGCATTGGTGGCTCATGCTAGCTACTCAAGAGGCTGAGATCTGAGGATCAAGGTTCAAAGCCAGCCTAGGCAGAAAAGTCCCTGTAAGACTCTTATCTCCAATTAGGTCAAGTGGTAGAGTGCTAGCCTTGAGTCCAAAGAGTCTTACAGACAGCGCCCAGGCTGAGTTCAGGCCCCACAACCAATCAAAAAAAAAAAAAAAAAAAGCTACATGTGTTTGTACACACCTGTCATTCCAGTTATATGGGAATTGTTCATAGGAGGATCACTGTCCAGACATAAACGCAAAAATAACTAAAGCAAAAAAAAAAAAAAAAAAAGCAAAGCATCTGCTTATCAAGTGCAAAATCCTGAATTCAAATGAGGAGGAGGACGATGACAATGACAAAGAGGACAAGGACTTAAGTCTAAACACATGATCCAAAAAAAGTTTAAGAAAAATCAAGCCAGGCACCGGTGGCTCACATACAATCCAAGCTACTCAGGAGGCTGAGATCCGAGGATCCTCATTCAAAGCCAGCCTAGCAGACAAATACGTGAGAGTCTCATGTCCAATTAACAAGCAAAATCCTGAGCGGAGCTGTGGCCAGAGGAGTCTGCTAAAGGACAGGACGAGAGAGACGTGAAGCAGCTCAGTGCAGAAGCCAGGGCTTGGAGGTGGCTTGAGACACGTGAGAAGCAGTAGAGAAAGATGGTTGTACAGGATTCTGGGGCTTGAACTCAGGGCCTCATGCCTCTTGCTTTTTTGCATCTACTCTTTGAGCCACACTTCCACTTTTGGCTTTTTGCCTGTTTAATTGGCGATAACAGTCTCATGGGACTTCTCTGCCTAGGTTGGCTTTGAACCAGGACCCTCAAAACACAGGAGATGGGGCTGAGAAGGCGGCTCAGTGGTAGAGTGCTTGCCTAGCATGCATGAAGCCCTGGGTTCCATTCTTCAGTACTACATACCCAGAAAAAAGCTGGAAGTGGTGCTGTGGCTCAAGTGCTAGCTCAGGAATAGTGCCCAGGCCCTGAGTTCAAGTCCCAGGTCTTAGGTGGGGCAGGGAGGGAAGCAGGAAATGGCCGGTGGCCCCAAGGCTCTTCCTTTCCCAAGATTGTCCCCTTCACCACAGCCGATGGCTAAGGGAGCCCGGCCTCAGGAGACCAGGCGCTGCTGCAGAGCGAGGTCCTGGGACGCTCAGCACGGTCTCAGGGACCACACAGCAGAAAACCAACGCCGAGTCCTTTCCTCCCAGAGAGCGACCCCATGGGGCAAGGTGGAGAAATGTCCACAGAGCATTCCGCCTCCCCATATGCCGCCAGGGAGATTGCAGATTACCATCGCTGACCTTTGTGCCCAAAGAGCCAGGCGAACAAGGCAGGCGGGCGGCCTCCCACCAGCCACTCACCTGACTCTCACCCGGCCCAGCCTAGTCCTTCAGCCGCCACTCCAGTGGCAGGAATGACCATGTTGTTCAGAAAACCAAAGACAGCTGGACCTGATGGCCCACCCCTACCATCAATCCTAGCTTATCATCAATCAAGAGGCTGAGATCGGAGGATCACAGTTCAAGGCCAGCCTAGGGAAGGAAAGGTTGTGAGGCTCTTATCTGCGATGAGCCACCAAAAAGCTGAAAGTGGAGCTGTGGTTCAAGTGGCAAGAGCATCAATCGTGAGGGGAAAAGCCAAGCGAGAAGATGAAGCCCTGAGTTCAAGACCCAGTGTGTGTGCGCGTACACATGTACGTACACACACACACACACACACACACACACACACACACAAAGGGTCTTCTGTCACCTCCTTAATTTTGAGTTGGCCCATCTGCTCCAAAGCCTTCTCTGTGTGAGCAGATACACCTCATAGAAACAGAACTCCTTAGCAGAAATCAATCATGGGATTGGAAAGCTGAGCCAGGTGGGGTTCATTGTCTCTTACTCCTCACCATCTCCTTTAAGTTGTGTTCTCCACCTTTGTTGCTCCTGAGATCCCCGTCAGGGACAGGACTCTGGTTCTCCAGGCCCTGCCCTCCAAGAACCGCCAGTCTCCAGCCCTGAACCCTAGAACCTCTGGCCTGACGTCCCGCCCCGCCACACCCCGCTATGCCCGCTTCAGAGGTCATGGAGAATGGCAATGTTAGAAGGAGTCTTCATTAACCACCCTGAGCTCGCTTCACTCACTGCCGAAGCCAAGGTGGCAGCAGGGCCGGCGGAGGCCCTGGCTCACGCCGTGCAGACACCTCAGCAGCCGGCGCAGACAAGACGACGGAATGGAGCAGATGAAAACCACCTTCAGCCATGACTTTGGGGAGGAGGCCAACCTCCCAAGCCTAAGTGCCTTAAAAGCTCATCATGCTAGCCAGCCCTGGGGGCTCATGCCTAGGATCCTAGCTACTCAGGAGGCTGAGAGCTGAGGATGACGCTTAGAAGCTGGCCTGGGAAGAAAATCCCATGAGACTCCAATTAACCAACAAAAAAGCCAGGAGTGGAGGGGTGGCTCAAGTGGTAGAGCACCAGCTTTCATTAAAAAAAAAGGCACATGAGAGCACAAAGCCCTGAGTGCCAATACCAGCACACGCATGCACGCACATGTGCGCACACACACATACATACACAGATGAAGAATGGCAAGACCAGAGTCGGGTGCCAAGAATGGCAACGATGCCCTGGAAGGAGGCGAGGTAAGAGGCTTTTGCAATGTGCATCACCTGTGACCAAGGCCTGACTTGGCCTAGAAGCTGGGAAAACAGAATGAAGGTGACAGCGGAGGTGAAAGAGCGGATAAACTCGGCAGCCAGGTTTCTCTATGCAGAGATGACATCAGGCAGGCCAGGCCACAGCCCAGATTTCCATATTCCAACCACCCAGGACTAGCTGCCAGCAGCAGGCAGATCGGCCCCAGCCAGGGTCAGAGCCAAAAAATTATATTAATGATCATAATAAAGCTAAATCTGGTTTTGATTTCGTGTTGTCTGCTAGCTGTGTGAAGATATGGGATCCATTCTTTGGTTTTTTTTCCCCTTTCCTTGTTGTTTGTTGTTGTTGTTGTTGGTGGTGGTGGTGGTGGTGGTGTGTGTGTGTGTGCTGGTTCTTCCTGAGGCTTGAACTCAAGACGTAGGTTCTGTCTCTGAGCTTTTGTGCTTAAGACTAGCACTCTACCACTTGAGCCACAGTACCACTTCTGGATTTATTTTATTTTTTGCCAGTCCTGAGGCTTGAACTCAGGGCCTGGGTACTGTCCCTGATCTCTTTTGCTCAAGGATAGTGCTCATGTTTGCAATCCCAGCTCTTTCTTTGGGAGGCAGAATCGGAAGGATCATTGTGCAAGGCCAGCCTAGGCAAAAAAAAAAAAAAAGGGGGGGGGAAGCGTTAACAAGACCCTATCTCAACCAATAGATGGATGGGTCTTTTATTCCAGCTACAAAGAAATTCTAAATAGGAGGATGATGGTCCAGGCCAGCCTGGGCATAAATACAAGACCATATGCCAAAAATAATGAAAGTGTAGAGAGCATGAGTCAAATGCTATAATAACTGCCCTGTCCACAGACATGAGGCCCAGACTTCGACTCCCCACTCTCCCTCCCTTCCCCGCCCCAGGCACTCGGTACTAACAAAAACGTGAAAGCAATTCCATTTCATCCTTCTGCAGAAAGTGTTTCCTAGAGCACACACATCGATAGTTTTCATTAAGATGGCACACTGAAGTGGCCTGAAAGCATCCTATTGGGAAACCACACAATCAAGTATATTTACTTTCAATAATATCAAAAACAGAAGGATGACCAAAACTTGTGATAGCTCTACTTCTCCCTTGTCACCGTTGCTGTTTGGCCAGTGACAGATTTCAAGTGGGAGAAATGAGAGTGAGTTTGGCAATCCACATCTAGAATG